CTTTACACATATCCTTACCGCTGTAGACAGATTTACCAGATGGGCGATAGCATGCCACATCAAAGACAAATAAGCAGAAACTGTCGACGCAGATTTTCTCGATCTCTGGATATCAAATTATGGAGTACCACCTATTGTCACCACAGACTGTGTTCCTCAGATTCAATCCATCCTATTCCAGGAATTTACCAACTTCTCGCAGTGAACCACATCGAAACGACAGTTTAACATCCAGTAGCTAATGGTCTGGTCGAAAGATTTCACCGCCAATTGAAAAGCTCTCTGATGGCACAAGCCGATACATCGAAGTGGAGTGACGCACTACCACTTGTGTCCCTTGGAATTCGTTCTCTATTAATTGTGGTTATGCTAACTGAACTCTAAATCATCTAATATTTACATTTATGGACTGCAGTCGCATTTACATTATATTCTACGTTAAGGTAGATTACTAGAACCATAACAATCCCATTGGAACTATTAATTATCTACAATTGTGGATTCTAGTACCAAGTACAACTCGAACACACCCAATTTTGCTGATTTAAGTAGTGTGCTTAAATTTTTATTTGTGATTATAACTTATAACTTATATATTATAACATTACCGTTTATACGTAATAACTTTCTTACTGTATTTGAATTGATCTATTTTTGGTCTACCACAAGTTCTGGAATACGTGATGCTGGATCGTATATTCCCCAGCGATGAATAAAATTATATTTTTTTGAACGTCACTCATCTGTTTTCCTGCTTTTAACTGGTGAAGCTCATACATATCTAATAACTGAACTAAAAACGGGAATTCTGGCCCAACTTTGAGGCAATCTGGGCAACAATGGCTAAGAAAATGTCGTATTTGTTCAGGTGGATTATCAACTAAAAGCCGTTTTTCTGCAGAGGATGGGGAAGCAATATGATACTCCGACTAAATGTCTCCTACGACGCGAGAAGTTACAAATTCACATCCTTACAAGCAACCAATAAAGGTGAAATGACTATTAAGTAATTTGGATCAAATCTCTTACTACGTGATTTCGTCTATTCCATCTTAGGATACGCAGTGGTGATAAGGGTGTGAATGACAAACTACTGATTGCGGAAACTCTGGATGTTGGATTTTTTAAATAAATCATTTTTGTAATGTACGCCTTTCTCGCTATTGTCTTCCATGATGGGACTGATCATGACATTCGGTTTGTATTTTCTTAAATGTCGAACGACGACTATGGAACTAGTAAGTTAGTACGAAGACGTCGCTGTGATTTGGATTTCAATGTTTGTGTTAATTGTGTAAACTATTAAGGACAATGAAAATAAATTTTCAATGAGACGTCAATTATTAATCTCATTGATGTGAATTTGCAAACTATTCATTTCGTTTGAGACATTTAAACGAAGTGTCTGATAATTTCCCTATCGTATGCAAGAAAGATAGCATTTAGTTGCAATTTCGCCTGAATAAACACCAAATTTTCATAGCCAATGTCGCACACATTTCCTCAGATTTTGCCTTTTTCCCCGTTTTGTTGTTTGCATGAAATGGATTCGTAATTTATAAGTAGTGTTTTTCAAAATGTTTATTACCAATGTGATCTCAAAGAGCTGATGCCGGCGTCCAACTAGCGGAAAGTTGTTGAAATTGATACTCCCTTTTATAGTAATGCTAGCTCACCTTAGTTTCATCTGCAAAAATGCCCCTGATTAACGATATCGTAAACTGTAACAAGATCGTTTCGTTAATATTGGTCGATAAGAATTTACGTGTTATTCCACGCTGTAAATAAGTGACACAAAATGTAGTAGTCTTATACTGTTGTTGAATCCGAACTCGGAACTACTTCGTTTCGTCGTCGTCTTCATCAAGGTGACTTTAGTTGTATATTCCGGTCTTAATATCTAGGATGAAATCGATGTTTTCGGATGGTTATGCACCGACCTAGTTATCATTCCTGTCTAGAAAGTAAACAAATTGTAAACTAAACCATTTTACTTTTAGATTTATGTCAAGTATCTGCTTGGTGAAGGAAGATTTGCATCTAACTCTTCTAAATATTCTGCTGTTAGTAAAGAGAACTGTAACCTAGCTAATCCCTCGTCAATCTTTTTACTGATGATTTAATATGGGTGTTTTTTAATGATAACATCTGTATCATTGGCTGACGATTGGGCAACGTTGGCTGAGAGTTTCGTCATGCTCACGTTTATCCTTGACAATTTATAAGACTGAGGACCTTCGAACTACACATGATCATCTCCAGTTGAACCATTACCAGGCGTCAATGCACTGGCTAATGGCAACGATTCTACTTCCGTTGAAATTATCTATACAACTTTGTAGCGATAATAGACTTACTTAACATTTGGAGAAGTTAAAGTTTATAACAGCCCAATTTTTGGATATTCCCCCTAAGTGTACCCAGCTTGTATTTCTGAGACATCCAAATCGACATAACCATGAAGGAATTAGGCGTTTGCTTCACCATGTTGCTGCAAAAGGTGAACATTAATAACTCGCCCACCGTCTGGGTTTGTCTCTGTGCAACGGAATGGTGTTTCATCATGAGTTACTTTATCCAACTACACTGGTCAATAACAACCAAGTCTAATGCACAACCCGAATCGTTTGTAGGTGAATAATTAATATATTCTAGCTGATCGAAATAGTGCAAAACGACACATTTGACAGTAGGTCAACTGTCGTCCCAAATTACGCTGTTCCTTAACGCGATGTCTATTGAGCTATCCGGATACGTGTCTAATTTTTTATAAGAGCCACTTGGTGGTCACAATAAGAATCTCCTTAATAACAGAGGCAGTTATAATTGCCAACTTCTTGAGTGTAGACTGAAGGAAATTTCTAAATAAGAAGTTAGTATACTAATGAAAAATGTGTAAAATGCATATTCTACGTACTGAAACTTATGCTACCGGGGGGATATGACTTCATGGATAAAAATGTTGTCAGCCATGCACTCATGCAACCTCACTAATGGTTAACCAGATATGCTCATGGCAAACTACTGAGGACTTAAATATACCTATATCACTGGACGTTGTAAGATGTGTTATCATTGTAATGTGAGTGATATTTTGTCTTCATTACAGTGTTGATATATCGTAAATCAAAATATAAAAAAGGGGTTTGTTTGTTATTTAGAAGAATGTATTTTATTCTGTACGTTTTAAGTTTTTTTTCATGCATGCACTGTTTACTGTCTGTTATTTGGAATAACTCATATTGAAATAACATTGGGCCTAGACTCGAAGTCATAGCCCCCATGTTATCATGTTGTATAAAACTCGCAGATTAATGAATAGACAGTTTCTCGAACTCATCGGTCATGGTCACAGTTTGTAAAAGCAATGACAGATGGAAAGTAGATCGAAATAACCAATTATGGCATAGATCGATAAGACGGAATAGATAGGTAACACTGAAATGCTTATGACCCCAGCGATAAAGAATTAGTAAATTTACATATATATTGGGTTAATAGGATTCCTGTTAGGATAAATTCTATTACTTTGAAGGCACTACTCCTCACCCCTGCACCTACGTACATTACTCGAGTCAATCAGCAGATTTATTCGCTAGATAAACTCTCCCTTAAGTGTAGTCTTGAATCATTTCGTTTCACTTTTTGTGATTAAACAGTGACTTTTAATATATAATTCATGGATACTCTTTTCATTCAGTGAGTATTGTAGCTCCATACTATCGGTGTAATTGTAAACCTTTTTACGAACCACAGGTTCACTGTGAATTTATATTTTATGTTGAACAGCAGAGTTGTAAATCCCATACTTTTCTAGCACCCGAAGTTTCAAGTTGTTTACAACGTTTAAATTTGTATGTAAGTTGTCAAATAGGTTGGTCTAAAATGACAGGGGATACGTCTTTATCTCTAGTTTCCATCAAGTTTATTTGGTTAGGGCGACAAATTCAAACGTTTCACACTGTTTAAAAACTTGCTAAAATTAAGATCTTATAGGTCGGTCCGCCACTATGCTGACTAATGGACTGAGGATGGTTGAGTGAGGTAAATATATATTATATATATATATATATATATATATATATTCTGGTAAAATGGACAATACGGGATACTTACAGTATTCTTGTATAGACTAGATCACAACTACAGCAGTGCTGCTGCTCACATATGTGCAAGATAAGAGTAATAAATTTCGTCACAAATTCACCAATGTTAAGAAAAGGTCATTTCTTTTGCATGCATACGAAATCAACTAACTGGTTAATTAGCATAATCAGTCAGTCAGCATATTACTGAACAATTAAGACGTTACACTTTTATTTAGGCTATTTTTCGGGTTTTGAATTTGAACATTTTCATCTCTTTGTAAAAAGCTTTGACCTATGATGGTCTCGGGTAGTTTAAAATACATCTAAACTAGAAGATAAATACAATCATAGCTAGTATCAAGTCAGACAAACAAACAGTTCATTATGTTAGTGGTTTATTAATTAGTTACTATATTGACCACGAAACTCCCCCAAAGTCTTTGTTGTTTTCAATCCTAAGTTCTATCCATCTTTAAGTATCAGTGAGAGGGCATATTTGTTCCAATTTCCAAGATTTTGATACCTGATTTTAATTAATACTGAGAAAACGTGCCGTAACATGGTGTTTTATCATCTTAAGCGAGCAATATATCTAATGTATATGGTAAAATATTAATAAGCTTTTGATTGTAATCTACTCTTTAAATGAACCTTGGATTGATAATGTGCTCTTTAATTAAATTTTCACTTGTCAAGTCCTTTCTATTTGTTAAGTTGTATTGTATTGAAGTAACTATTAGGCGTGAATACTTTCTCAAGTACTTATTCGTAAACCTTTTGGATCGAGCAGATATCCGTAAGGAAAAATTGTAAAGTACTTTTGTTAACTTCACTTTATTATCTAAGTGTAATCTTTTCCAATTAGTTCTGAGTTGTATTATTTGACGATGGTTTATTCAACATTTTTAGAGGATGAGAATCGACGACATAAAATTTATTCTTTGTTGGACCATGATTGTTCGTCAATATGTGATACAATGTAATGTTGCTTATATAACCTACTGTCCATGCATGGGTATGTTTTGTGTAAAGGTCGCGTGTATTTTAATAGGTCGGCTTGGAAACCAGATAGAACAGTTCCTAGGTATGATTGCATTTGCAATTAAACTAAACCGTACTCTTGTTTTGCCTCCATGGAACATTATGTCATCTTTGCAGGCTGTAAGTTTTTACAGTTATTTTAAAATTCTTCAGAATTTTGTGCCTTTTGGAAACTTATTTAACATCACTACACTTCTACCAGTTCATCAGTTTGTTTCACTGGAGAGTTTTATGTTGAATGAAGCTCCTGTCATCTGGCCAGCAGCTAAACGTACAGGTACCTTTTTCAAGCTATTTTGCATTTAAAAGCGTTATGCTTTCGACCTAGATCGGGTCCTTTATTTAATGATTGTAATGCTAAAAACGGGAATCCTTTCAAAGAATTTTGGGATAAATTTAATGTCAGTTTCACAGGTTCTAGTTTCTATTTTCCTCTAAGTACAGATGATCCTAAAGAGAAGTGGGATCAGTTGTAAGTTTTCTAATGCATGTCATAAATGTTTCTAAAATATAGATTTCCTTCAGAAACTTACCCAGTTCTTGCATTCATTGGACCGCCTTCGTCTTTCCCTGTTCGTCCTGAAAACCGTGTATTCCATCGTTATTTAGAATGGAATAGTCATATTAATCTAGTCACCGAGAATTTTATAAATCGATGGTTAAATAAACCTGTAGTTGGAGTTCATTTACGTAATGGAGAGGATTTTGTGAGTTGTGTTTTGACTTATAAGTTTTATTGTTTACTCGAGGAATTGAGAGTAAAAATTATGCTTAATACTTGTACCCAACAGTAATAATCCTTTTTATCTTAGTGTGTGCTTTTTTTGAGTGATTCAATTTTTTTCTCTGTATTAATTGCTAGGGTAGCGGTAAGATTGTCTGGTGAACAACCAGGTCATGTGTTTAGATTTTCATCTGTCTGTTGATGCATGGGAAGAAGAATTATTGGCTTTTGAATAGCCAATATAAGTTAAAACACAGTACACTTGTGTTCAGTACGGCCTACGATGTTACGGATTTAGGAACGAAAACGATTGAGCTTCTCTAATACGATCAGTTCTCTTGGGAAATGACAACAGTCAGTTATACTTAACACATCAAATCTCGACAGCTAAGACAGGAGGAAGATGGAATTGCAAGTAACTTGATATCACTCAGTCAGTCAGCTACAACGTAGGACCAGGCACATATATGCATCGGTCCAAGTTGCCATACCTCATTAACACAACAAGATGGACACCGGATTCATAAAAGTAGTTAATTCAAAGGTGATAATGTATAAAGGAAAGATTGCGATAAGGATATGGTACAGGAAGAAAGAACTAGTTCGTAGAAAGGAAGATATAAAGCGATTTTAATCTCTTAGTTTAAGGGAAGACAGAGAGTGTATACACCGACGCCATTGTGATCGATTCTGAGCCATGTCACCAAGAGTCTCCAACCATTGGTTACGATAGTCACGCGGACCGCAACCAAGTAGTCTGCATCTATCAACATGGCTCAGACTAAAAGTTAGTGACTTCAAGCACTGATGCCACGTTTTGGTTTGGCCGCCCCTAACTTTCTTCCAACCATCTCCAACACCGGTACTATGAATACAGAAGACCACTGTATTCATAGTAACTTGATATTGTGGTAGGAAAAGCAACTCGAACGAAGCTGTCACTATACTAGCAGAATATGACCTTCGAGCATGTAGCAGTTTAGCGAACTAAAAAACATGGCAACGAATCAGAGAGTAAAGGTCATGCGGAAAATCGAATTGGTAGGAACTATGCGAGCGGTTATCGTTCCCGAAGATGTTTTAACCTTTCTAATAAAATCTGACTATTCTTGCAACCGCCTTAGCAACTTGTGTGCAATTTCTTAGTTGCATTACACCTAGGTGTTTATTATATATCTGTTTTAATATAAAAAAGGGAGATAATGGCTCACTAATGTAAAAAAGCCGATTCTTAATTTTATTGTTAATATCTCATTTCTGAGAAGGCTAAACAAGCAAGTAAATGAGTACTTTTTCTACGTGTATACTTTAGTCAAATGCTTGCTCACATTTAAAAAGTGGTTTACGTATCTTGTTCTCAAGCGCTCAGTGCCATGGTGATTTTAATGAACTTCCTCCTTACAAAGTAACAGAAGATATGTGCATCCCCTCAAAAGAATTAGTTCTTCATACAATTTCGTACGGTGTTCGTTTAATTAAAGCAAAAACTATATATGTATCTACTGATAATGATCCTATGTTGTCATTAATTCGCCGTCACTTTAGTGATACAACTGTAAGTGAAGACATTTCATTTATTTTAATCAACTTTTAAAAATATTTGAAAATATTGTTTCTAAGTGTTGCAATTACTCAGTTGAATGTTTAATTTCCTTACATTTTTAAATCTTTAAAATGTCAAGGTGTTCATATACAATAGGCTTTCATGGAGTTTTTTATTTAGTCTGTAGTATTTGTAGTAACAAGTATTTTTGGTATGTCATCGATGGATGGTTTATTTAATCAACTTTTGTCCTCACTGAGAACCTCATCTGTATCAAGGTTCTTAACTAGTAGATGAGTATCTCTTTAAAAATAGTTATACTAAGATTCTCTCGAAAGACCTCTAGTTACTTTTTCATATAAAGTATGAAAAAAAAATACAGCAAGACTCCATTCAAAATAAATTAGAAGCTATAGTGTCTAACATTTGTCGATGAAAACGATTGAAATTCCGTAGAGATAGTCCAGGAAAGCCAAAGTAGAAATATGTAATTGATACTAAATAATCAGTCGTTATAAGTTATACTGATGGATATACTAATTATTGTGTGTGTTTGTTATTTTAACCAAGTCGCCATTAGTAATGACATCGATTAATATTTACAGGCTCTTCCATTGTTTTTACCGTATCTCCAAGTAGAAGCGAAGCGCGGTCTCTTACTAGTCCTGAGAAACTTCTACTTTATAACAACTGGTTATATTTGTGTGTCGTCTTCCTAAATTAAGATTTGTCGTATTTGAAGCATTTCATTTATTACGAAGAATTCATATAGAATTCAAAGGGTCACTTGATTCTTATCGGTGGATTTATGAAATTATCAAAGTTTGAGAGTGAAACACCCCTTTGAACAAATGAGTTTGTTGCGGTTAGTCCCTATTTGGTTGTATATGCTCTTTGAAGCATAATTATGAGATTTCTTTTAATTTCTTAGCTTTAATATTAGATGAAGCAGGACACGATTTATATAAGTCTTATTGTTGATTAGTGTTAAGGTTGTTGATTCACCTTTTATCGCATATGGATGTATAGGAGGTAGGTTTCTGAAGAAAATGTTTTGGCATCTATACACTTCTATCAAACAAGTGGTACGACTTCTTTCTTTCTTTATTTATTTTAACACATAGATATTGGTACAAGGGGGCACCAGATACATATGCGCCACACAAATCTCATTCGATATGTGTTAGGGCTGTGATACTGCCCGGGTGCCCAAACTGAAGCAGGTGGTTTTCTTAGGGGGCCACACCCGGTGCCTTCGACTTGAAGGTCTGATCCACAAGGCAGTGGAGCATCATGAGGAGCTGCAGTCCCATGGTAGCCGGTGACCAACGATTAGTTCATACGCCACTTGTTCCTTCAGGATACTGGAGCTCATGTGCACCATTGGTTTGGAATGAGGGTTGTCCAACTCCCCTAGGTGGACTATCCATGTACACCATCCCGGTTAGAGCGCCGGACATTCGCTTTTCGTCTTCTCAATTTCGTAAACAACACCCGTGGTGCGAGAAGGCAATGAGTAGGACTTCCCTGGCAGAGGCTATATACGCGTGGCCATGTGAGAGCATTTCGAGAGGGGGAGCGGACCCTCCATACTTTCGGCCGTACTAGGGCATTTGGGGGCGGTATGACTTTACCTCTACATTGTCTTTTGTTTTATCATTCTACGTCTCGGAGTTTCAGTCTTTTTGAAACTATTTTAGATCACCTATTGTTGTATCCGTATTTGCCAACGGTTGTTTGTATTTATTTATTTATTTCCAAGTAGGTTCATGTAGTTTTCTGGGCAGTATTATAATGGTAGCCAAGTCTAAGAGTTGCCCATCTTTTCATCCACTATGTGACCCATATAATGGCCAGTCTTCAATGCACTAACTTTGGTGTATATCATACTTTTGTTGAGGCACTCGTCCTGTTCTCTAAGTAGTTTTCGAAAATATGGGTATCTTCATCTATTTGGTACTTCAGCAAATCAACGTTAAGCAACATTATTCATAAATTGTTCATGTGAAACATAATCAGTAATAATTACAAAAAATTGAGCACTGATTAGAAAGATGTTCAACATTAGCTGTAAGATTCTCTTGTCTTTTGCAGTAGATATTGTATGGGGTGAAATTGTTTTCCGACTTGTTTTCAAATACATTTGTTTCATATCAGTTTTTTCGGAATTTTCACTTGATAAGAACGCTTTTTAAACATTTGTTCTACTATGGACTGTTTACTATGACATTTTTATAAAATACATTAGTTCTAGTCTTCGTTTACAATTCCATACTGTTCAGATAAAACAGTAGACCAACTAACTCTGGTTTATATTGCGTACATTTAGGAAGTTTAAGAACACTTGAAAATAATGACGACGTAAATTATAAGTAAATGATAATGCACTGATTAAATTAACGTTTTTCAATTTGTCAAATACCCACTATTATGTGCCGTTCACTTTGCTTTACGCATCGTACAGCCTCTAAGAAGGTTTCAGATTATTTAGATTTGTTCCTTTGGTTAATAAGTTATAATTCTGATGAGTAAACAAGTCTTCGATAACGTCTCGTTATTCTTAATTGATTACTTTTTCTCTCAGTTTGTTTTTTGTATTTATCCAAGGTCATTCTCATCATTACATAAATAAGACTATCGTACCACATTTTTGATTTTTGGAAATACAGCGCTACCTTTTCAGAAACTGTTTTTTTTTCTGTGGCAACGTTTGGGGTATATGGTGTTTGAAGTGTTGTCGTTAGGTAGCAGAAGCAGCCAGTAGGCAAGAATGAAAAGGAGATATTTCTTTTCAGGCTTTATTTGCATAGGAATAAACCACTTTCTTGACAATCGGGGGTGTAAATATAAATGCACAAACATCGAAGTAGTTATTAGAAGAATGTCTTAAGTTGCTGGAAATATGAAACCTTTCTCAGAAGCAATCTCAAGTATATTAAACCAAAAATCTTCAGTGTACACAGATATCATCAGCAATATCTTCATGTTTACTTGTGACTCAGAAACTAATATATATTTATTTATTTGAACACATAAATATTGGTACAAAGGGGCACCAGATTTATATGCGCCACACCAGAAACTAATATTCCATCCAATAAATGGCACTGACGTTACATAAACATTTTAGCGTCCAGTTTGCACACCAATAAAACTCATGGAGTGTAATACGCTATTGTTGAAATTGCTTTGTATTGAACTTAACAAATATCACCTTACGTTACATAGAAATTCATTCAGCTGTGCCTTTGCAGAAACTGTGTCGGCGCTCAGCTAGTTGTTAGCGGATCATTCATCTATTTCCAACTCGTGGAGTGATGCATTCGTGCTCTATGGTAATATTCTGCAACTACGACTTTAATAAATTGAACGAGACTTCATATGGCCTCATCTTTCCTACCCTGGTAACAAGGGTAAAAAGACCAGTTTAGTAATGGAAATTTTGTTGATAATACATTCAAGTTAATCGTTTATGCATCAATTACGATGATTAGTATTTATAAACTGTGTATTTTTTGCTAAACACAAATCATAGTGAAAATGTATTGAAAGTTCATAAGCAATGAATAATTTATTGTAACGGAAATTCACCCAAATCAATATTGATTTGTTTTCTCGTAAGTTGTGTTTGGGGAGTGCATATCGATAGCTCTAAACACCTCTCTGACCCTAAAGAACTGAATCAATCTAGAGAATACCTGCACCTCATAACGTATCTACTCTACGTCCCTTCTTAGTACTGGATAATTAATATTAAGCATTTTCTCCACCTCTACACGAGAAACAGACACTAGTTTATTATTTACTCGGAATAACTATCAAGTGAAACTGGATAGACGGCCTCTAAAGAACTAAAAAAACTGGTCGAAACTGACCTCTTGGTGCACTATGATCGAAATTCCGGTTAACGTTTGCAGCTGCATACGAAGTGGGTGCTGTTATGAATTCCCAAACGAAGCATTTGAACAGTGATGCATACATCCAGAACACAGACAACAGCGTGAAGACGCTATGGTCATGTGTAGAAGAGACACTATTGGTTGCTTTTACGGCACTCCATTTACACAGTAAACATTTCAAATTACCGACTGACCACAGGCGTCTATTAGCAGTCTTTGGTTTCAAATTGAGAATATCCGCACATTCTGTAAGTCGACTGAAACAGTAAACGATAACGTTATTGGGATTTGATCTCGACATCTGTACTAACAGATAGAAGGTTTTGGTCAAGGAGTCTGTTTAGAGGTGCAGACTTTGGACTTTGTAGAATGAACCCTAAATTTCTGTTTATCGCTAATGACCTGTCATATTGTGGTGCGTGTTACTTATATTGATATAAGTAGTATATGACGCCAGTCTGGAATGTAATGTCTGACAGCAGAAGATGGGGGAAGATCAAGAAAGTCAGAGCGGGAATAGAATGCAATTTGTATGAAAATGCAAGGAGAATGAAGTCTGAGGCATTTTGAAACAATTGGTGGACATTTTGCAAATTAACTATTTGATATATGGTTCTCAGAATGTATTGAGATGCTCTGTAATTTTGTGTTAAATACATTCGATTGTACTCACCCGTGTTCTGTTCACTACAATATGAGCACAATATACTTCAGCAATTTACTCTTGACTTAAACTATCGAAATCCAACGTTTACACGATTTGTGTAAAAACCCCACAAGTATCTTGTAGTGTTTTAGAAGTAAAAACATGGTAACTAGTAATAAGAAATTCGTTTTTACAGTTGTCTATGCGTGTTTTCGATTCGTTTTTACTACAATATAACGTTTGATTGCGGCTTACTCATGGACCTGGATTATTTGTTTCAAATTCTCTTAACAGTTTGAATGGAATCGAATCATAGTTGCAGCACTTGTAGTGGCACATATATATTGGCGCTCTCTTGTACCAATATTCATGTGTCCAAATAAATAAATAAACACTTGTAGTCTTGAGTTCCTTAAAGTTTGTCCTAAATAAAAATTAAATGTGGTAAATGAAGTCAACTTATTGGTAATTGAAAATTCCTTTACACTTCCATGCATGTACCTCCTACCGATTATCAATCGTTTCTCGGTTTGTATTTTTAAAAAAATTTGTTTAATATTTTGTTGTGTTTTCAGTGTTTCTGGACAATCAGTACTTGATTATAAATATGACTCCATTTCTTAAAATGATTATTAGGTAAAACGTGTTGTGTGGGAACCTAATCGAAAACCTGAAGAAGATTTGGCATTGTTAGGTAGAATCGATTTAGCTATCCTCAATTGTGTGTCAACTTACTCTGCTGCGGTGAAACGTGAACGGGATGCAAAGAATTTACCCAGTATGTTTTTCGGATTAACTATTGAAAATCAAAGAGGATTGGAAGTATTGTGTAATTCGACTAATAAAGCTGTCAACTACTGGTGGTCGAAACTGTACCAAAAATAAGTTCTTAGTGTATCATAAATATGTTAGTGTTTTCTCCATTTCTTAGATTGTATTCGCTTGTTAACTTTTTTATCATTATAAAACTTGCATTTGTTATAGTACTCGGTGTAATTTCTAGGATGCCTCGTTAATACGTGACAAGGTAAGATTCATAGCTCTTCACTCATGGTAATAAATAAAACATACATTTCTGTTTTTGGCATAAAATCATTACAATATTTTGACCGATTGTTGTTAAGAAATTCATAAAGCATATAGATCATCAATGTAGGCGATCTATGTGGATGGTCTCGGTCTACTCATGTTGATTGACCTGGCTTACATCAAGATCACATCCCGCGGTTAATACTGGACGTGAATTATCATTTCAAGATACCGTATTGTACTGGCATGACATTATTAAAGTGTATTAGTAATAATAGGTTGGGGAAATAGTGCAACCACTGCAACATAGGTCAATCCATGGCGTGTTACGATTAATACGCGTTGTTTGACCTTAGGATAGCTCACTAAACTGTTCGGCATTCAGTGGCTTACCTGCTGGATGGTTTGATCAGAGCTCAACTTACAGATCATAGGTAGACGGTAAACACATTAACGGGGCAGATAGCACCCACGACTTCAATGGACACCTTGTCAAGTCTTAAGAATTAGATCCAGAAGCAGTGCTAGACGGTGCACAAAGCCAATTTATTTTAACTTTGAGTGCCAGGGGAATATTTTGGCCGACAATAATTGACGTCTTCGGTTGTCGGCTACAGCCGTCAAGACATTCATCTCGTGTTCGTTACAGACAGAAAAGCCGGGGCGCACTCCGATGGACATATTCAAGCGCCATCTACCACACTGGACAAACAAAGACTAGACCCCAATGTTACACTAAGTCACCAGTTTCTCTCAGATGAACCTGTGTCAGTCGACAGATGATAATAAACTTCAAGAGTAGCACGGTACTTCTCATAGATGATGTCTTACTAATAATTGACACTGATTTCTAACAGTTTAGCAATCTAGAGGACGTCTCCAGGAACCGCATTCTGGTATGCACTAATCACAACGTCGACTTTGAGAGGACCATATCCATGAAAACCTCTATTCACCTGTAAACCATAACACCACACTGGTAAGTTTATCGACCTATTGAAGCAGCTTATTAGTCTGTCACAACCAACTTTTCAACTAGAAAATCTGGGACAAGTTTGTAGACCATTTTGGTATTGAAAGACGTCTGTCTTCAATTTCTTTTGACCTCTCAATCCTAAAGAATTTGACAATATGTTGAAATAGGGTATTACACTACCCTCCAATAGCCCTCCTACCCCACCACTGCATATATTCCGGGAAAACAACGACGTTCGACATTGTGCTCAATTTAAAGTCCTTAATAGTTCGGTTACTCCAGACAATTACTATTTACTTCATTTGCAAGGCTTTACCAATACTTCGCAAAAAGTAACCATCTCATAAGCCGATCTCATAAGAGTATATTGCCGATTTAACCTAATAATATCTCAAGGGCCAAAAGGAAGATAGATAAACTGGGTTTTTTAGCCTGATAAATGTGCCACAAACATCTAAGCACCCTATCGACCAATCCCTTAGAGATTTACATGGTACGGACTAGTATAAATGAAGGTAGTGGTGATGGTCGTCTCGTGAATGCTGATGGAGGGTCGTGTTTTTATGTTGAGAATGGATCTGTTCCAATTTGGTTACATTAATACTACACTGCCATTGTGGTTACACAAAATCGTATGACGTTTTGCTATTATGTAGTTTTAACGTTCACTAAGAGTCGAGGAAGTGTAGCAGCCTTCAGAACATGCATTTTTGTAAGATACATTTTAGCTTTCAGACGTTATGCTGAACACTGAAATAAATACTGTTATGAAGTCAGACTTTGGTTGGGATACTTCGACTTACAACTGATTGATCACTGGGTAATGACCAATGTCATGTGTGTCGGGTCCTTCTTAGTGCAGATTGGATTATATCAATCACGTTGCAATCTGGTCAATAGTCGACGTCGCCTGTACTATGTCGAGATGTAGGAGGTAGACGACAGGAAGCCCCGGACTTGGGTTTCAAGCTACTTAGCTTTCGTCAGCAAGGGTTACCTGTAATCTCGAGAGAACCGGTGTCCTCGGACGAATTAGATCTCGAAAGTTTGTGCGATTTTCAATTTCGTGTCGAACGTATATTCTGTTTAAGCTAAGTCAGCCAATCTATTTTAACTGTCTTTCATAATTGAGCTAACACCAGGGCACATCCAGTTTGTTTTGCATTACCAAAGGGTAATATCCAAACATTTATGTGTTCAGTTTAACTCCCCAGAATCACCGAGAAACGGTTCTGGAAATTAATTATCAAACTTGAAGTTTTTGTCTGCGATAGTTCCGTTTTGATATTTCCAGGTCCTGGTGTTTAACCTTATCACAATCCCTCCTTTCTTATCTTACGGTGTATTTCGTGGCATTTAGATTCACTGGCCTTCTTGTATGGCAGGAAAAGATGCAGGATAAAACGTCGTTGAGCGTCTGCACTTTATCACGTCTGTGTTGTGTAACCACACAACACCAGCTAACTGTTTATCTAGATCAACCCAAGCATTCTTTTACAACAAAATATGAACTCAGTGGTTGACTAAGATATCGTAGGACCTGAATTTGTTAGACGTCGTTCCGATAAGCACTTTATTTCACACTGCTATAAAGCTTGACCATCAGTTTTAGTTCACGATGATTTATTCTGAGTTTAGCCTTCTTCAAAGGCTATGGTGAGTGCCCATCATTCCGTCCATCTAGTAGAAGTCAAACTAATTTTTCCCGTGATATTAAATGAAGACCTGGTTTTAATAAACAGATCTATCCCGAAAATATTTGTAGATATAGGCATGTTCCACTAAAAGTGGTCAGTTTTTTCGCACAAGAGAAAAGCAACTTACTGAATTGTGTCATTAGCAATAATAGTAGATGGTGGTGGACATATCTTCTGGCTCATGAATGCAATATGGATAATTTATTGTCAGTGATAATGACCCACAGGCTAGCGTTCCCCGAGAAATATTCAGTACACACCTACAAGACTAAGTACTCAACTTTCAAATGACCTAGTTTTAACTAGCTTTTGCTTCAAAAAACCCTACTGAGGCTTCAGACCTATTTAATGGATTGCTCAGATCCAAAACGCAGTATAGATGGTACCAACTAGTCCATCTCACGATTCCGTTATCAGCTACTTACCAGTTAGTTCACTCATGGACACTATTTGTGTCAATAATTAGTTTGAATTCTACCTGCTAATTCATATATTTTATTCTCTTCCTTTGCAAACAGCCGAGTTTTGTCAACCAGTGTTCCTGATGTTTATTCTCACGCTCGGTTTTTTCTTTTTATCTCTTCTAGCACCACGATTGTAAAGCTCAATTGTCCAGGTTAGGGAACTGTGGGTTCGTCAACGTCGCAGTTTGTACGAGGTGCCATTTCTAAACAGAATGTAACAGTAGTAGACTCATAGTACAGTACTAAAACAAACCCACTTGTTAACTTATTGGTATATCTACATGAATGTTCTATCACATATTTCGGCTGACTGTATTTATTTAGTAACTGAAACAACAGTATATTATCTGTAAACCTATGTTGCAATTTGTTGTTCATATGTGTAAACATGGTGTGTGGCTGCTATGTTAGGATTATATACATTATAAACTCTGGTTACGTCGGTTTTGTGCTCCAAAAATGGGTTAACCAGACTGACATACTTGTAAATAAGTGTATGGAATTGTCAAACCGTGAGGAAATGACAAAACGTTTATACAGAAGCCGTGAATGTTACTTCATACAAAACCTTTTGTCAACCCTGAAGGCCAAATTTGTTTAAGTTTCTCATATGATAGATTATTTAGATTTTCACTCCATTCCCTTCCATTTGTTGTGGTAAATAAGTCCCCGAAATAACTATTTTTGTAAGTTTAACATTGGTGGTGACTTCACTAGTTTTACCAAACGCACCCTATCTTAAGGTGATCGGTTACGCATTCTTATAGAATCACGAGTGAGTGCGTTGTACTACTCATCAATCATAACTATTAGATGACCTTAGACCAAACGCTCATCGACATGTTTCAACTTTCCAAATATAATTTCGAACTCATCCATTCCTGACTTCTGACTTGACTAGGTTGGTAGCCTTCGATCATAAAAATATTATGGGTGATGCGTTAAATCCTGAATATCCGTTACATTATTAGCAATGAGATCGGCGTGATCTGGTTTGCCGAAAAACGGACTCTGTTCCTTGTGGTGACGTAAGATATATTTTCTTTGGGCATATTATGATACTATTTGTGCGTACTAAGAATTCTTCGTCCATTTATATATCTCACCTCCAAAATGACGCTAAAGACACCCAAACTGTTTCAGAATAAAACAGGTAGCATTTTTCATCCTATGTTACTCTGAACTGATAATATCGAAGCCTAGTTCTGCAACACCGAATGCGGTGTCACATACGTGTGCATGGTTCTTCGAAGGAGTGAAGAAACTACCGCACGATTTTAACAGGTACGTTTACTAGTGATAGTTTCGGGCCTCACGACATCTCAACAAAGGCCATCTCTGACGGGGAAACCCATCCGCGACTGCATTGTTTGCCGTCACATACTTAAAGCGGACTATAAGATGTAGTCCAGTTACCGATACCCGGGAAGTGCTTGTGTCAAGACCGGTTATAAGGAAGGTGAAGAGATAAGTGATCGACGAGTAGAGTATATTCTTGACCTTCTATCGACTGTTGACAGTGCCGTACACCAAAATACATAACCAGGATTGCGCCTCATTGTAAGTATACAATAATGCGTGCACTGTGAGACGCTTGCAACTGAGAATAAATCTTTAGGCTGTCGGTGAAAGCGTTCCATCAACCCGTTCACTTGTCGGTGATAGGTGATCGTGCGGTTCCTAATGGTGTAGTTAAATAAGAGCAAAGTTTAAATGCGAACTGGCGTCCACGGTTTGGAATGAAAGTTGACGGGAGATTGGAGTTTGCTACTCGTCTTTCGACGAAGGCGTGGGTCACCCATTCATCCGTAATATCATTCGTGGCTCTTGGTCGTCGAGTGGAGGGTCTACGTAAGTTACGAGATTTGAGTCTGGTAAAGAACCTACGAAATTCGGATGAACATGGTTGAAACGAGGGTCGGGTTTTATGAATGAGTCTGTGAGACATTCGTTGTGTCTTATCAACTTAGATTTCTGACCGCCCACACGTGAGTGTGTGCACTTACTCATGTCTCTATTCATCCCAAGCCAGCAAAATCATTCTGCTATGAGTTTGATGATTGCATGAACACCTGGATAAGAAGGCCTGTGCAACGTATTGAAGACATTGTGCACTATTGGATGATTCGTGCTTGCAGATGTGTTACATAGTAATGTTTCCTTACCTGTTCCCACCTGTTTGGTTCGCAGTTTCAGTGTTGTTGGAGATAACTCGTGCTAGAGATAAGTGTCTTCTTTATTAAGCTGGGAGAGCAAGAGAATTTTGATCTTTTGGAAATTGTCTGAGGAAGTTATACGAGACAAGGAGTCTGCTACTTCACTTTTCGCCCCCGGAATGTGTTGTATATCTGAATTCGATTGCGAAATGTCGTTTAATTGTTGATACTCTCGAGGGGAATGTTTGTTCAGAGACGAGCTTAGACAGAAGCTGGGAGGTTCGTGATCGCTGAAGAGTGAATTCTTGGCCTTCAACATGTTATATCATAGTGAAGATTACACTACGAGTATCGTCTGAGCCCTATTATTATTATTATTATTATTCACAAACATCTTATGGGTACATAAATGTTGAAAAGAAACCATTTGGGGTTTCTTCAAGAAATGCAAAAATACACAATTTTCAATGTTAGCATTATACTTACCATGTTTTAAAAAAAGACTAATATTATTTATATATTCTTATGGTATAAATATTCAGTAACTAGATTATGTGTATCTTAATTCCCCTTGTTATAAACTTTATTTTGACCTATATATAATTATTGTACGATTTACTGTTCTTAAGCTTTGTTCAGTTTATTGACTACTGCCTCCCACGCTCACAGCCACTCTTGGCTATATTTAGTATAAAAGGTATTTCTTATTTTATGCTGCGTTGCGGTCTGTTTGTTTGGTATATATATTTATATATGATTCGATTCTTGTAGGGGAGGCTGTTGTTGGCATTTTGGACTCAGCTGGACGGGCTAGGCGAGCAACGGACCAATAGGACGCTAGGCCGATCAGACCGTTCGAACGTCATTGGTTTAGTACAGTATAAGAGCGAATAAAACGTATTTTGATTGACAAATAGATTACGTGATAACTAGCTGATCATTAAGTCAAAACACAACGGAATGTTGTAAGTGCTGTACAGCACAATACATGGCTAGAAGTTACATAAAGAAAGTTCTAAACCTCGATTCAGTGTCTTGCAACCATCATGAGAATAATGCCAAAGGTTGTCAAGTGTTGTTTACCTATTGATTAAGATTCCTCCAATCGCTGATTCGGATGCGTCTATTGTGATACCAATGGGTGCTTCCATGTTTCAGTGTGCGAGCAATTTTCCTATGTCGGTGGGTTCTTTAACATTGAAGGATTTGTTCCTCGCGTCGTCATCCAAATCGATGAGCTTCACATTTTCACGATGTTCCTCGGTTTAAGTTCACATCAAAGACGATCAATGCGTCATGAATCGTTGATAAAAACTCACTAAGTTGTTTAACACACGTAATTGATGTTGGTCGGTTCTGGGTAAACCAGAATGTTTGCCACTTTATTTTCAGAGCACCGATGAATTTGAGATCAGTGATGTGTTTTAATAAATCTAAAAAGTCGTTTCCAACCCTTTTTTTGAATGTCCAGAGGAATGCCATATTTTTGTAGATAATTTTCTCCCACTAACTTCCGTCAGCTTGAGTCGATGGTCGGGTTTTACGTCACGATAGTTCTAAACCAACGGTTGACATAAAAACATCAGCACCAGCGAAAATGCGGTGAGTGTGTTTGAGAAAACCCACGTTAAACAAGTCTAAATTCACCGTACGTGGTGGTCAGTTTTCCAACTGTAAATTAAGGACCGAATCTTAGAGATGGCCAATGTTACTCCTCAAAAGAACGCCCAACTGTGCGTGATGGCGAACTTCTGTCATAGCACCAGTGGTGTATCGCAGACGTCAATTTACACCAGCTACGGTTCACACCAGCGCGTATCAGTGTTAAATATTTATGAAAGATTAGTCTTGACAGAAAGTCTGAGGTTTGTGTAACCACAGGATTAAACATTTGTGAAGTACTGAAAAATGGTGGAGGTGGGTAAACTTTAATATTTACCAAAACATAAGACGTGGTAGCTTTTGCGAATCTTACGCGAACAAATGTTGTAGTGAATTTTGAAGTAGAAAGATAAAACAACTATTCACTTTAAATGAAAGGGGCTGTAGGAAGCGATTTCCTACAGGTATAATTCTGAGCTATTCCCTAGACCGTCGAATACAGAGTCTTGGCTCGGCCAAATTCAGAACAAGCAAGCAATTTGGCTAGACAAACTTTATCTATTTCTAAAATATAAATTAACATTGTTAGTGTACAAACAAACAGTACGGTCTATTAATACGGGGAAAAACAAAGACAAATAACATACCGAACAGTAGCCAGGGAATAGGAAAAATGAGTCAACAAAGCAAATATTCTTTTACAATAAACCCAAAGGGAGTTGATGTGGTGGTGGGCGTTTCACTTTATTATTGATGGGTTCGTCTATCGATGACATTTTACATGGTATATGATTGGTTATTGCTGCAAAAAACACATACTTGGAGAAACGGGTTAACATGTTCAGAAAAGAGCACAGGAAATTGATGTTACACCACATACTGAGTAATGATAACTTTTTAATGAGCATATGATAGATGTTTAATATGCGGAAGAAAAAAATGCTGAACACTTGTGGTATCCAGTCACATCAACTAGGGCAAAACCTTTAGATTTTCGCTAACGGTAAGGTCCTTTGATTTCTAGACCTTCCTTGACACCAAACGTCCTGAATCTATCAACGTTTTCAAACTCAAAATTTGCATTCATTCTAATGAAATGTGGCTGTTTGAAATTTGTACGGAAATACGGAAAAAAATAGGTTTCGAGACTGAGAAATGAGGGGCGAATCGGGCTCATCCCCATTAGATCGAAAAATTGTCTCTTTATGATGAAAAGCAGGCCTCATCACTGCCAACAAAGTACTGAGTGATATAGGTCGGGAGGGAACTACATGAAAACCATAAGAGCAACCATCTCGGTAGCTTCTAAAGAATTTATCACTCAAGACGGAACTTCAAGTTCTATTCTGCATATCGCATTGTGTTTGTGACTTTTGAACTATTCTTACAAGTGAATTGAACAAAGCATTTGCGTAGATAGCATAAAGAGACAATCAGTATGGTTAAACAGCTCTTCATGTACATGGAAATCTGTAAGAAGCAAGTTTTCGCAGGGTCTTGTAGTCAATAACTTTTATCAACAGAACACGATTGGTTTAATAGAAACGATCATTATTATAATCAATTGTACCTGTGATTGTTTTACTGTACTTGTTTGTTTAACTTTGCCAAGAACATACATTCTTCCGCTGCTTGTGACCTTCCACGAATTCGGTTACGCTCAGTAATCACTTTTGTAACCTGGCACAATCTCTGTATTCTTTCGGTGGATGTATGAGTGGTCATTAGAAGTCAGTTTCGACATGAATTTAGTGATGCAAATACATATCTGCGACCATTCATGTCACTACGCAATAAGTGAAATTCTATTACCTGAATTAAGAAAACACAAAGATCTAGGAGTCACAAAAAGCAAGCACTTTAGACCTGGTAGTAGTCGTAAGGCTACCGCTATCGAAGGTTTCAGGGCCTTATGGGTTATTCGTAAGTCAGTTGACTACTTGAACGAAGAATTGTTAAGGGTACTAAACCGGACGTTGTGATTGAAGCAGAGAGCCATAAATTCAAGTAAGAAAACGGTATACTAGAGTGAGCCAAGCGGCGAGGGATAAAAGTGGTGAAATAATTCTTCGGTCTAACTAATGAAGACAGACTGATACGCTTCAACCTATTTCCGTTAAATAATGGCAGGTTATGGCGCTATTGAGTGCTGAGTCAGCGCATACTGAAAGATAGTTTTGGTGTTGACATGTCTTATCATTTCATTTTATTCATGACTGACCATCGGAGAGCACATTCTAAGGAAATTAAAAGAGGCAGATGGAATCATTTACATCTGGAGTTCCGTTTCTCTCATCAAGTGGTAGATTACTGGAATGCTATACAAAAGATGTAATATCGGCGCTTTCCGTTGGTAAATTTAGAGCGGGTTTTGATCTCTAAATTGTTACGAATTAAAAAAACCACTATAGGTCGACTAATCTCCCATCTTTACTACTGTAGACTTGTCAAAATTTGACGGACAAATTATTAAGTCTATTTTAAATTAATGGTAAATTCCACTAAAATTTAGAATCCGTTCGCAATGGTACTTATCGCTATGTACTACACGAGCATGATAGAAGACACACTTTAAGAGTTTCTTGATATATTGCTTATAACACTATTGCTCAGATCCAAACTATTTTTTGAATTTTCTCAAGGTCGTGCTACGTGTAACGACCTTGAGGATGAGGTACGCTATTCTTGCATCAGCAAGTTTGATTGTTTCATCCATCGTCGTAACGAACACTTATTACCGCAAAAAACAGTTTTACCCTACTGTTGTGTACTTAACCAATAATCAGCCATCCCTTTCTGTAAGCTTTTTTGAAATGTCTTAAACGTCCATTAGATCCTCCTCTTTCAATGTGTTGTTATACTCTTCTTGGTCGTAAAAGCACTCACATATGCTTTCTTCGGTCGACTTCAAAGAGCAGAAGTAGATGTAAGTTTTACTAGTGATTTATCACTCGTCTTCAGAATCTTGTTTCACAGTCATGGTATGCTTTCTTCGACATGTGCTTGGTTTTTGCCTTCTTCCAGAACGAATTGGGAGTCGAATTTCTGTTCTTGTTCGCTATACTTTTATTTGTCAGAGCGTTTCACTGGCTTATTGAAGAAAGGGTCGATTATGTAAAGTCTATTAATAATTCTTACCGGTTTTTAGATGGAAAGATCGCCTGTCATTAGTGTTGTGTTTCATCTTCGAACAATGAGTAGGTTTATATTTTAACAATTTATTTTCCAGTGCTTATTACTCTTCTGACTCTGGTGGACGTATATTTCATCAAAACAGCATACTGGAAGCCAGCTACACACGGAATATCCGTACATTTGGCTTTGGGGATAGAGGTTTGAATATTATTAACTTTGTTCATACCTTACATTTGTCTATAATTGTACACTTTGGCTGAATAGGTGAGCAGGTTCTGTGTGTATTAAGTTTCACTGTCATACTGGGTATGTACCAATGGTCATCTGATATATCAAACGGATTAGTTGTGCGAGATAATTGTTTTTTTTTTTTGGTACTTGCCACGTCTCCGTCTACCGTAACTTGCGTTAGTTAGCGGGACAGGTATAAGACGTAGGAAGCATTGTTGTCAGAATTCAGTCAAACCTACCTTGAATTTATGGGTTGTGAGAAAATGTTTTCTTTGTGGTATGATCTATAAAATCTGCAACTGGCGATTGAGAGCTCAAAGTGGGCCGCTGTTATAGTTGCATCTGCCTGACATTCTAGACTGTTAAACACCTATAGTCTTGCACGCTCATTGATTCTAGGGTTTTAATTTTGTTAATTATCTAAACATTGTTAAGCAGTATGGTAACTATTGCTAGTTTTTTTTCGAACGGAAACAATATATTCCATCTAAAGTATAATCTTAGTGGTACGTCCTAACCGAATATTTCCCCTGAATAAATCTACAAGGGATTTTTAATGATTGATTGCTTCTCAAAGAAGATTAAAATGAAGACCATTGTTGTTTTTATAAAGTAGAAACTAACTAATCTATTAAATGTTTATGTAGGAGTCTAGAGATAATGTTCCAGTACTCAAAACGTAGATCAGACATTTTTGAAGAAACAACTGTACATTGATTATTTAGACTGTCAAACAGTTTGGAACTAATTGAATTGGCAAAATCTCCTAACTGTCAATTACCAGCTAACTTGAGGCACTATGTAATGTCAGTTTTGTATTGGTAAAAGACTATTATGGAATGCATATCAACCTGATCGTACCTGCATACTGTCATGCAAACTGTCGTTTCCCGAATATATTATTACCAATATTTTTAAAAATGAGTAGTTCTAGGTGTTTTGAAGTTATTTTCTCGTAATTTATGACGTCATTTTTCATTCAAGGTTAAATAAGTCATTAAGATTTCCATACTGTCGACTACGTTTGCACCATGGTACAGTGTTGACATGTCTGGAGCCCTCTAAAGGTTGATGATCACTGATTACGGATCGTGCATCATATAACTCACCGTTAATCACAGTGTTGGAGATTCACTTCTCACCTTTTTAAAAATCCCAAACATCTTGTTACCCTTATGATAGTTCCATATTCACTTAAACTATTCCATGTTTTTACAAACTGAATATTTTAAATTAATTCACGATTAGGTAGAGTTCTATCAATAAGTTAGATATTATTTCGACAGCATGAATATTACACACGATGTAGACGGCCAAAATATTTTGTTATGAAGTTTTCTGTCTTCCCTTCAACCATAATATCCAGCGTAGTACCGCGTTTTCCATATTCTTAAGTTCGACGTAGATTGATTGGGCTGTTGTCTTCACTCACTGTTTACTGACGACATAGTACAGCTGTCATTATAGGCAAGCAATAAGGATGTATTACTTAGAAAATCCATTCTCTATTATTATATTCTAAGTGTTTTTATGTACTTCATGCAAGCGACTTGTTTAAATAGGTTTAATTTAACACTGGATTATTTGTTTTTAAATATTTTCAGTATTTCATTTTAATATTGAGTCTTCTATCGACTACTGTACGTTATATTTTACATTCGATTGACTCTATGCGAGAACATTCCTGGAATAAGAAAGCTACGTATCTCTTATATGTGGATATTCTCATTGGATTTATTCGTTTGGCTGTGTACGTTGAGTTTACGTTCATCATGTGGTCACTGCATCCGTTTCCTTTATTTATCGCGCGACCTATCTATCTTAGCATCAGATCACTAAAAAAGGCGATTCGAGTAAGTTTTTGACTGTAAAGATTTCGTAGTATTCGTGATCTTGGTTATACATTCTTACATGTATGACTAACACAATCGTATATGAATTGTCTTTATGTTCTGGTCAGTTTCACGTCGTGATTCAAAACATGTACATTCTGTCGCTGAACACTATTCTTCCTAACCTTCAATAAAGATCTTGCATATTTGTTTGGTTGCGTTAGATTTATCAGTATACAAGCGAAAAACTCACTTACAATATATTAAGGCATAAATGTTAAAAATAAGTTAAACATTTAGATCCATATGCTCAATCTGTTATTGCAAATTTAAAAACAATCGTACATAAATATTACAAAGATATCATCATAATTTGTTGTTGGGGATCCTTTTGTCGACTCTGAAATAATACTATCATTAGTTTTTTGGGATTTTTTTACTAACTGTTGTTCGAATACTATTACTTACCCAATATTAATAACGCAGTCTGATAAAAGTCACAGTCCAGACACCCAAAACATGAAGAATTCATTTCACTTGGAAATGAAATTGGTGATAAATAACCCGACCGTAGCTACTACCTTAACACGTTAGTCGGGCTTGCCTGTCGTGGACTTATCCAACCTATATTGGCTGGAACGCATGTTTCTTTAGGTCCTACTATGACAGGCAGGTCGGTCGGAGAGCGGTATGACTAAAAGTAGAAACTTAAGGTCAGAGGGTGAAGTCGTACTGCTGACTGTAGAGGAGTGTGACACCAGTAACGTGTTTCCATTAGACAACCAGCATCTGCAGCGATGCTGCCTTCTCATTATGGAAGGGGCTGTCACATCTTATTTTACCCCATGGATTTCCGTATCTAGCAGTAAGGCATTTTTAAGTGGGGATCTAACACCGAAAATTTTCTAAAAAAGGCTGTGCACGACCAGCCACAAGCAGTTGTCTCTCGGGCTATGCGTCACGCTTTCAGGTCGCTAAGAACACCACTAATTTAACTTTTTTCAGTCCTCTCAAGAAGAAATATCCTCCAGCAGTGTGGACAACCGCCTTCATACTTCTATCAGCATCCGAGATCATCTTATTGATGATCGAATCCCTTCCTCACCCCTTAATTCTTCCGACCTCGTTTATCTTTATCATCATGCGCCACCAATGCTAACTATTTGGGTTCACAAAATGTTATTGCTGGTCTCCTAAAACCACTCTCTAAACTAAACGTTAGAGCTTTAAGTGTTCGAACCTTGTGTCAGATAGGGAAACAGTCTTCTTTAGCTAGGACTCTAGTATCTCACTCTTTTGATGCTTTCTACGTCTCCGAATCTCCTATACAGGATACAAGTACAGTCATTCATTTGATCTCACTTTATCAGTGTGAACAAACAGCACGATTTACCTTCCGAGTACCTGAAAACCTCACTGCCATTTTTTCCGAGGCCTCGCTGGTGCATATACAACATTGAGTTCTAAAGTAGAAGAGGATCTCCTAGACATTATTCCAATAGATATTCGCTTGTGCACTGTCCAGCTAAACGAGACAGTAAGAACTCGAAAAGATAGGGATACACGCCTTTGCTTGTTTGTTGTCTCTGCCTACGCTTCCATTGATTGCAGCTCTGATGAAGTTAAAGATTAATTTTATAGGAAGCTATCCAACTTCATTCAAAAAACAAAAGCCTTAATGTAGTGATAGTAGCGAGTGATTTCAGGGCTCAATTAGGTAAACTAAACCGAACCGAAAGGTACTTAGGCGGATCTTAAGGTGTTGCGGCTCAGCGAACAGATAATGCCAACCGTCTGTTGCAACTATGCTCAGATAACCATCTATTTTTGGCAAACACAAACTTCAAACACAGGGAGAGACATCGTCTCACGTGGTAACCTCCGTAATTGACTTATCAATGGACTGCAGTAGGTCACATTGCCATTAGTTATCGTTGAAGGGGCTCGATAGAAGACTGTCACTATTTTGGGATTTGGCCTGACAACTTCATCTTTCTGTGCTAAAGGAGTGTGGCAACTTGAACCAATGTACATGCGTACAGGTTCTACGTCGTGACTGACTGGTGATAAATAACATTTGCAAGTGTGAAACATACGTAATTGTCTCATCAGCTAATATTTTCCGCACAAGAAGACCAAATAACATACCGAAGTCAGACAAACCTAATGCGATGAACATCTAAAAGTGTACAAACGAAAACGAATCATCTCAGCTGGGAAACATATCTATTTTTTACTTTGTTCTATACTCATATCAGTAAGCTCATGAGCACTGCCCACTCGATTTTCCGTAAACTAGTAAGATTATGTAGGTCAGTTTATAGTTATTCACAACGTAGAACCTGCCATGTATATGCATCGGTTCAAGTTGACAGCTCGTTGAATATTTTGTTTGTGTTTCTAAGGTAAATTTTAACTCAATAACCAAGATTTAGATCTGTTAATGAAATCTATACCTTCATCAAACGTTATCAATATTTGTTCGTTAATCTTGTTTTATTCCGGTGCTTAGAGATCAAGGAAACCATCTTTCTTCCAGTAGATCTAAGGTTTAAATTCCGCCCAACCCACCCCTCACTCAAAGTATAGCTGCAAGCCGTGTTCATAAACGTGTTCTTGATAAATAATCGAAATGAGTTTTTTCCTGTACATCTGACTGTTACCTAAAGTAATGAAAAACTTCTTTGCCCTTAACCTTATATACGACACTGACAGTGCATAATCTAAGTGAAAACTAATCTCAATGGGATTTACAAAAACAGATTTGATTGGTTCTCATATGCTTCTGAGTTATGGAAGAGTTGCAGTTTTTTGGAATATGCACTTGAACTGCTGCCGAAACCATGGGAACTAAACTAAAATTTCTTTCTTTAGAGTTTGTTTGTTGTAAAATATTTTCCCCACTCAAAATAATTCTTACCAATTATCTCAATATATTCTTGTCAGTCAGTCAGCTACAATGTAAGACCAGGCACATATGTACATCGGTTCAAGATACCATACCTCGTTAGCACAACAAGATGAACACCAAATTCACAGAAGTAGTTTGTTCAACTGTGGTAATATATCCTTGGGCATTTAACAATCGTGGGTGTTGGCTTTTATTTACAGACTAGCTACTGGTGAGATACGTTTCAATTTTCTTAACCCTTTTCTGTTATGACAATTGTAACAGTAGTTCATCAAAGCTACTATGTTCTTAATAATTATGGAGTTACAGGCTCATCCGTATTCCTCCCTATGAAAATTATACACCAAGAAAGGATTTCGTCTGACGTTTACCTAACAGTAAATATGGTGCTCATTCGTTGTATAATACCGTTTGCGTAATTAGCTCTTATTTAAGAGACATAAGGTTTTACATTCATTTACATTATCACCTATCATCAGTTTTATGTGTGATTACTGTAAGTATAATATAACTTGAGATTCTTTGATTATTCTTTTATGTAAAGGATATGTTGATGTCACGTCGTGCCATTCGATACATGAACACAGTTTTCCGCGATGCCACTCCAGATGATTTGGCTTCCTCCTCAGATACTGTTTGCATAATCTGTCGTGAAGAAATGAATCTTCAGACAGATAATATACCATCGGTTGGGACTTCAGCTCTTAAAAGGTTACCTTGTTCTCACATTTTCCATTTTGGTTGTCTACGTTCGTGGTTTCAACGTCAACAGACTTGTCCAACCTGTCGAATGGATGTCATACGTGAAGCTAGAGTGCAAGAAAGACAGCGACAACAACCTCATCGTTCAGCAACTACCAATAATACACAACCAGAAAGCTCAACAACTTCTGGTCCATCTAATTCAACTGCGACACCATCTATTGCAGCTAATAATCAAAACTTATCAGTGCCATGGATGGTAAGCTTCACCAGTTGACCTTCAGACTTATGGTGACAAGTCACCCATTCTTTGCGAACAATTCTAACTAAAAAACATAATGATAATAATAATAATATAGGAACAATAAAATGCTTAAGATTAATTCGCTTTACTTTAAGTGGACCAATAACTTAATAGGTATGGGATTTGGTTTAGGGCCGTCGGGCCACAGGTTCAAACGTTACTGAACTTGGTTTGCGCAGACGTATAGTTATTCCAATGTTTGCATGCAATGTGACTCAAAGTGGAGCACACAAATTTTTATCTAGCTTCTCGGTTTCGGTCCCCCTAAATTTAGGACTTCTTAGTCTGCTTTAAGCCACGGAATTTTGTGCTAATTATTAACTATTTCTTTTCCCTATTTGCTGACCAATTAGTATTATACTGTTCACTAGCGTGTGATATGAGACCATGGGAGCATGAAAGCTATATTTGCGTGACACATGAACTAATAAAAACGAAGTCTATTATTGGGCTGTCCTATTTAAAAGTAAATTTGTTGCATAGTGATTAAGATCTAGGGTCGGTTCATTTAGAGAGGATATTCTGGAATAATATTTTGGAATTTGTGAAAATAATTGGGGCTTTTAGTGAGGTAAGGCAGAATATATGTAAGTCATTAGAAATGTAGATTCACATTTTATTCAACTGGATGAGTTTCTGGAAGAGAATCGAGGCTGGGGTGATTAATTTATAAATACCTCCCTGCTTAATTTCGACAAATATCTAAGCTTCTATTCTTTAATCAAGGATTAAAAAGATTTCTCCTTAATATCTTTTGACACCTGTTTTTCATTTACAGAATAGTTGAAATTGTTATTGTTTGGGGAGGTGGCACATAGTTACGTTTACCTAGTTATACTTTCGTTTTCAACATAACATTGTTATATCCGCGGAAATTCTTAGATGACTTTTGTCTAGTACTGAAAACCCCGAATCCAACGACGTTTAGTGAACGCACAAGGACTTCTGATATGGATTTATTTGACACTGGAGATACGCGAATACACTGATTTTTATATAATTTATATACAGTCAGTTTCATATAATTTTAGCTGTTCAGTATTTAACATCAACTGGTGAATATCTTACTGTGTGAACACATTTACAATATCATGCAATTAAGTATTTACAATCAATAAATATAATTAATTGGCCAAGTTATATAGTCACTTAGGATGTGATTACATGTTACAGGCGACCAGTTGCTCTCCAATCGATTAAGTAATTGTTCGTGTTATCACATATTGTTACTGTTGTTCAATATTTTGTTTGTTATTTAGCCTCCTGCCAATGCATTCCCGTTTTATCCACCATTTATTCCTCCTACTAATAATTCAACAACTACACAAGCTCAGACAGTCTTTCCGTCTGTGCCTCCTTTATACATACCACCCTTTATGGGGATGCCTATAATATACCCTGGTAAGTTAGGTGGATTGTCTATTACACTGTTTTAACGGAACATTCTGTTTATAACCACACAGTTTGAATGTTGTATATCATTTTAATTCGATATCGATCTCGCAAGCTCAGTTTTTACTTTATTTTTACATTCATACTATTTGATGTTAGAACAGCTAAAGTGGACTGTAATGTGTGTAATAAATATCTTAATGCATTCTGCTTGTAATTTTGGACTATCCAACTTTCAAAGTATATTGTCAATGTATCTTGCACTATCGGGATCCTGTGTTTATAATCAGTCATATTTAAAACAAAATATGTAAAAAGTGACCGACAGACTCAGCTCCATTTGGTTTTCGAGACAACTTTTATTAGTATTTGCTAATTTCATTCACATGAAGATTTAAATTACCTGTTTTCACTTAGATATCTCAACTTTCTGTAGAAGCATATTCTATCTTGGGTATTTGTCATCGACACTGTACATTCATGGACGATTAATTCGAAGCAGTAAAGTATATATCCCCTATATTTGTATTTTTGACCTTTTAAGTAAGAAGGGTGTTATCTGATTGTCTGCCTGTTATGTGATTTTACGAACTTATTGACTGTTAGGATAGTAAAATCATGACTGTGATTGGTTGTTCTCTGACTTTAAAAAAATTAATTTAGAAAGCCAAGAATGATCACTGATCGTCTTAAACGAAAGATATAGTTTAAATTAGTGCACGGTATGTTTTTATTTCGAATGTTACTTAGCCTATGAGTACGTTGTGTAACTTTATAGTATTCCGTAAATTAGGCTTTGCTCATTTTCCTACCTACCAATTCTCATTAATGTAACCATTGTGTCACACTCCGCTTAGGTAACTTGTTCTCTAGTGGAAATACTCCTATGCCAGAACCGCCCTCTGGACCACCTGAATCAACTGATGAAGCTCGTCTTCGTGCCAGTGCTGAAGCCCGTTTCACCGCTTTACGTCAAATAAATGTACTGTTGAATGCAGCTGTCCTGCAAATGAATGCTTACCTCAATGCGGCTAGCGCTCCTCCAAGTGAATTAGAACCTATTACTTCTATTAACACTGTCCTCAACACCGACGATGTGGGATCAAATAATGAAGGAAAGGGAGCCTCAAGTAGTGATGTAAATTCTCAGTAAGCAGTTTTCTGATTCACCTTAATTATTTCCGTTTGTATGATTATTATATCTCCCGATTACCAAAGCCGTCTGACTTTTGGTCCCAACACATTTTCATGTACTGAAGCAATTTTCAAAGTGAATCTATGTTTACTTTTTTGTATAGTCCCGTTGAACTAGTTTTTGAATATACTTCTAAAATATTTTCATTCTGTTTTATTATAGGCTACGACTGATACAGATATTGTTCACTGAAAATTAAGTCACTCTTTTTCTATGCTCTGTATGTAAAATTCAGTCTATGTATTATTAGGTGGTTTCATTTCTAGTTGGTCCCATCCGTGTGTCTTCCTGAATTTGAATAACTAACAGTGCTAGATATTCAGTCCTCCTTAGTGATTTGTTCAACTTGAAGCATTTCGCTCTGTTAATTGACGTGGAAACTGATGGTTTCATCTCACATTAGAAACTGTTTTGCCAGTTATTCAATACATTATGTTTTTTTCGAAAATCCCTAGTGATATTCTGGTTATTTGTTGATTGACAGTATATTATTTGCTCTTGTTACACAAGTTCTTAGAAGTTGTTCGTTTGCCGTGAAAAACTGTCAAAACCGTCAGTCATTATGTTGTGTGATGAAAGTACCCATATTGGGGTGGTTGGTCATGTAACCGCTTTTGTATATAGTCTTCTCACTTCTAGCCGGTAACCCTAATACAAAAAGTATTTTCGACAGGAACTTTGAAAGATTTAAATGTTTCATAAACCCAATGGATCCTGGCGACATGGTCGAGAAATAGTATCACGGACTACAATGAAAGACGAACGGAAAGGACTTAATCTCTTCCTCAGTCCTAGTTAATCCTCACAAAAATCCAACTCGTGGTGAGATTTGTTTGGTTTTCCAAAGGTCATTCAAGTAAACAGCTATAACGCTGTTATAATCTCTTTTATTGCGACCCAGCTACTCCTATTGTTTAGCACTCGGACACGTTACTCCACTCGACTAGTCCTCAAATCAGAACACGGTCGAACAGGAACGTAATTATATCTTAAATAAACAAGATTGAATGGAATTAAGAATCACGATAAGCAAAACGTTCGTATATTCATAGTTTTACGCAAGAAGATTCTAGAGTCTTCAAGTATGAGTATCCGCTAATTGGCTGGGAAGTGGTGAATCAGCTTTGTCCAACACAATCCTACATGTAACATGCTTTAGTCCAATCTCTATCCGGCTAATAAACAGCTTTGTTTATGGTGTGGAAACATTGCTAATTAAATGTTTGCAAACCAGTAAGGAAAAAGTGTATTTGATAGTAGCAAGAATGTACAGCACATAACGTGGATATTTTTTGGTGAAAAGGTGATACTAATTCAAAATTGTGGAAATTAAACTGCACGCTAGTAACTTTAAGATTGTTTTGGGATCTGAACACTCGATAACCAAAGTTTGCAAAATGCTACCCATTTGTGGACTACACTAACTTAAAATGTATTGTTGAATATACTTATTGACGTACTATTCTGGTGTTCTATTTATATGTTGAGTCATGACTGATTGCATGTTCAGTCCACGAACATGTGATGTGGTGACTGTACCATGGAAATTATGTTCACTTCCCTTATGTGGATCAGGTGTTAATGCTAAGTTAGAGGGAGTATGTAGTTGCCTGGTGCTAGGAACAGCTGGGTAAATACTAGAATTCCCCTAAGTGGGCTTCTCTGTTATGGTCATTTTTTCTTCAATTTTGTCATCAATGATTTCCTCAGGGTAGTGCACGGTTTTGATGTAAACCTGTTATTCAAAAGAAGATTTTGACTTTGCTCATGATAATAATATCGCCTTACTCTCCAATGATAAGCAAACTACTCAAATCTAAATTGATGAATGGCATTGTAATTTGCATCTTCGCAGTGTAACACCCCTGTAGTGTTGGTTATATCCTTTTATTGAAGTCTAGAAGGGTGAAGAAATATGTATGTCTGGTGTTTGTGTGAGTTCTGGTGGTTATATAATATATATATTTTTCTCCAGTCTATGACAACCTTGACTTATTGCTTTGTTAGTTTGTATATACATGATGGAGTGCACAATACTTCAATGCAAACAGTTTTAATGTTTTCTCATTCTTGCATGTCATGTCCCGAAAGTCATACATTTCGTTTAATTAGAACATATTTTATGAAATTTGAACTTTTAATCATGAGAGTTACCCAATCACGATGGTTTTCTGGTCATGCAACCTAAGCGGTTACCTACCTTTTTTCTAAAGTTAGCTCACGTGAGTTGGTTCAGCTGTTTATTTACATATTCCGCGATGAATACATATTAGAGATAATAAACTGTCTTAAGTGATTAGTTTCAATTTGGAGCCTAATTTTTGTGAACTTTAATGTAAATATCTGATTACTGGATTTTGTTGTAAGAAATTACGTGATTTGTTAATACCGTTGGAAATATTCAGTGATATATTCGTATTTTTATGGATATTTATTAAATATTACTTTATTTTAGTTATTTTTTGTTGAGTTCCATGGAAACCCAAGTACATGTGTGTTCTGTAGCATTCACCTTAAGATCATCCCAGTAAACTTATTTGGTTTTTATTTTGTGACGAATAATATTTATACATATTAGTTCCCATAATGTTTCCGATTTAATACCAGGTGGCTCAGTGGTCATTTAAAATCATCATTATGTCGGTTGTTTCTAATATCTGGACCACATGTGTCTACCTATCATCTGACTAGTCAGTAGACAGATTATTTTCAAATAAGTTCTGTATTTCTTATAGTTTTTCTTATATTTTAATTCTTACACTAGAGACTGTCTAGATACAAAATCAATCTGCTCACATGAGGCAAAGATCCTAATTCAAAAAACGAAATCTCTGAGGTGTCAATAACAACTGTCAGTGTTAGTTCCTCATTGTAGCTGCCATTTAGTTGGTGATCTAATATTTCTGGTTCTCACTATTTTATGATAGCAAATCTACATGATTGCTATTTATGTGTTTTTCAACTAACATTTCATTCTATTTCAGGTTAGACTCGGATGGTAAGAGTCCCCTTGCATCAGGTAAGTAAACTTCTTATTCTAGTTTTGATTTTTTTAATGGAACAGCCTTGGCATCTTGATATTCAAGCTATGGAAGAGAAATTTGTTCTCATTCCTTTCCATTCCTCAGATGCCTTCATGATGATTAAATATGTAGTTGAGTTAAAACTATTTACTTGTTCTTCTTACATATGATGAATGGAAAATGATATGTTTCAGTTTTAAAAAAACTTTCCCGGAAAAATGTTTTACGAAGTTATCTTAGAAAACAACAAGAAAGTAAACAGCTTTCACAATGAATGACTGAAACTGTGAATGTAACACTAAGGCATAAACCACCAGGACTGATTAGTCTTTAGGATTGGATAACCTCTCCGTTACAACATAAAGAGAATAGTTACAAATTAATTTACCGCTTAGTTAAAACTGAAAAATAATTCATACGAAAACGTCAATTAGGTTTCAATCATAGTTAAGATTATGTAAAATGAGTTTTATATCTTCCTCTCAATTTCAGACATGAAGAAATAGAGGGGAATTGTTGTTCAGGGTTTCCTCAAGAATAAGCTTCTAAATGTGAATTTCGTAATCTCGAAATTGAGTCTCTATGTCTTTTTTAAGAATAATGAAAAACTGTTCATTGGAAATCTAATCTAAATAAATTCCGTTATGGTTTCTGGGAGATATTTCTGTTTCTAGTAGGAATATAAAGGCATCGATTTGCTTCATTTGATGATCAATCATCAGGAAAAAACTACAGTCACACAATCTACTACTTTATTTTTCAAAATGACTGTAAGGTATGGAATTTAAAAGTAAATGGCGAAAATGAGTACAGATATTTTATCACCAGTATTCTCCTATCAGAATCTTGAATTGGAACTATTAGGGTGTTAACGAGCTTGGGTTAACTAGAGGTAGCAATGATGTGTTAGATTTTGGGGGTAAGTCCTCTAATCTTGTGTTTTATGTTGATCGTGGTAGTTTTGTTATTGAAAATATTTCTTTATTTTAACTGCATAGTTAAAAGCGGATCTCGAATTCATCTGGAAAATAACGGCTTTTAATGACAAAGAACATGAATTTTCGATTAGCTCTTCTGATAACCAAATCTGAGGTTTTTGCTGAACGATTTATTTATCTTTAAAGTATCGGTACTTGCATGGTTTGGTTCTATAAATTTCAGTTTGTATTTACTACATGGTCAAAGATTGAACTCAGGAGTTCCAAATTTCCGCCATTATATTTAACAATTTAAGTTTCTCTCACGTTCATTGAAGGTCATTGTGGTACATCATAAGTCATTGGCGTTACATTAAAACATGATAAACCAACTGGACCAATATTTTATTTCACCTGCATTTCATCCTTTTTTCCTCTTAATTTGTATTTTTGTATCTAGAAGACTCGGAATTTACGGAAGTTCGTAAACGTAGACTAGAACACTTTGAATGCTCGTCTGGAGAAATCACATCAAAGTCTAACTCCGAACTTAATGATGTGTCCAATTGATCTTGTAACATTTATATATACCTAACTTTGGTATTACTAAGTTTATTCTGAGATTAGTTTGTGTAAGTTGAATTCTGTGTGGCCATGTATTCTTTCAGAATTCTTAAATAAAACGAATGGCTTTCTATATATTTCAAAATTTAAATTATATTTGATGTAGTATTGTTTCGTTATATTCTGTCTTCAAGTAGTCTCAATAGTTCGCCTTTATTACTTGTTATGTTTCAAGGAATGTGAGATATTTCTCTTCATTATAATTAGTAATATGGTTTTGTTCAATGTACATATACTTTTTTATAAATTACAGGGATTAGTGTAATAATAGACAATAGTTTAATAGATCACTTAGACAAGGCAGAACTAATTGATTTGATGTAGTTTTGTCGTATGGTTCTGTAAGTCTTCGACATTTGATTCTAACCTCAGTTTTAATGGGCACATCTAGTTGGAGGTGCTTGGTCACTCATCAGCACCAGATCATGAGTGGGAACGCCGTGCTACATATCTCCTACATTCGTTGGCTAGCTTGGACCAACTAATTATTTCTTTACTATATCCTTATATGCAATCCTTCTTTTTTATATTACCACCATTGAATTAACCACTATGAATTCGGTGTTCATCTTGGTGTGCTAATGAGGTACGGTTACTTGGACCGATACATATATGTGTCCGGTCCTACGTTGTACCTGACTGACTGAGCTTGGATCAAACGCCTCCCGAGATATCGATAACCGTCCAAATATGTCTCTCAACCTCTTCTCTTCTGAAATGAATGGGTTGGCATACTTTGTGTGTAAAGGTGTTACGTGTGTGGGCGTTGTCAAACTCTGAATACTTGTGGTTTTTTACCAGCATTCCTCTTAAGAATCCTAAGATTTAAATATTGGTAGTTTACTTGAAATCTATGAATTTGCTCTTTTCAAACGTAAGTAAAAGTGTACTTTTATGGGGAACTTTCCCTGGCAGCTATTTCTGAGCTGACTAAAAAATTTTCCATATTCCAGTCCTGTGCCGATTTTCTTGTGGCTTTTTAACTCATAGTTCGTATTCCCGCGAACGTGAAACGTGATCCCATTAGTCATCAAATGATGTGGCTGAAGGCACAACTCAAGCTTTAATTTGAATGGTTTTACCTCTAATGTACCTCGCTTTATATTTTTGACCACAGTGTTTCTGACTCTATGCACTTGTGAAGTATTGAGGCACTGTTTTGGTTTGTCACTAGCACGGATAGTACTAAGTGTGAAATAGATATATTTACTGAGGTAACATGTAATTTACAAAGTATGTAAACTTAAGAACTACGTGTCTTTGATCTGTCTTTTTGTTCGTTACCGAGAAAGTAATGAATTCTCAGTGTTCCGTTTACTTTTTGGGACTACACTGACTTATGACATACGATGACTGAACCATAAAATATAAACCCTATTTAATTTCATATATTACGCTTAGGCTGACCCCGTTGTGCAACAGTAGTGATCAAAGCCAAATATGAATTGAGTCAGAAAAATTTTCTCAGACACCCGGTTCGAGGTGTAACATGAAGAAAGGCTACGTATCCTACCTAGTTTCATCGAACGAGGCTCAACAAGAAAATGTACTCTAAAGATATGTATTTAATCTCTTATTGGTGAACAATCACGTACACATAAAAACGACCAGTGTTGTACGTGAACATCTGAAGAAATTTATACGAAGTTAAGAAATGCTTCAATTTGAACGGAGCTGAAAGGTAGATCTATGTCCGTTTCAGACATCGGCTTTACTACTACGCCTACGTTTCTACTGAAGAGTACGGTGCTCGACCTAAGCATATGTTCTATTGCCTAGATAAATAGGTAGTACAGGGGGTGAAATTCTCAAACCATTTGACAAGTGTTTCACATGCTGCTCACAGGTATATTGGACAAATCCACTCAGATTCAGTGTTTTGTTCTGATATGTGTTTAAAGATCTTATTGATTGCTCAATAGACCATTTCCAGATATTTCGAAACGGCTGGACGGTTTGTTATTTGGTGACGATGGGAAAAATGAATATTATGCGACTGCTGAGATAATCTCATGGAAGAATTTTAACTTTATTCCATTTAGAAGAGCTGAAGATCTCAGGTGTAATAATATCTTCCCATAGTAGATGTCGAATGTGTAATTTTGTTGAAGATACTCTTCCAGCCTGTTAGTCAATGCACACACCATTGCTGGTCACATGTTGATCTAGCCAGATTGCCTCCCTGACTTAAGTCTGCAACGTGCATATTTATCAACTGATAGCTCATCCGCACCACAATATAGGACGTGCAAGGTAATAAAGGTCCTAGTATCAAATAGAATGGAATAACTTGTCGTTTCACTAATTTCTAAACAAAGTCGACGATATCTGAAATTCAACGCAATTTTCCTTCCTGAAAGACCTTATAGTACAAACATACAATACACTTGAAATAGCCCCTCACCGCTATATAAATCAGCAGGGACAGACACTCCGTCCTGACTTATGAAAATTACTTGGTGGTGTTTATCTAAGTAAAATTTTAAGTGCTGTCACTGGAGCTAATATTGTATTTACCGAGTCTACAACATACAAACCGTAATATTGTTCTCGTCTGACGTGAAATTCAAATCCATAGTTACTCAAGTCTGGATTGCCCTTTTGAGGTGGCCAAATAATCTTGCTCCTTTGGTTTCCACACCAAACGAATGAAATCCTACCATAAAAGTGGCTTGCTTGGGTAGGAAAGAAATGGACAGGAGGAATGCATACGCCAGCTTAGTGGTATGAACTAATTGATGATTGTAAGTTTTTCTTGGTCTGAATTATATCCAGCAAACACTTAAACGTCTGCTGACCTGGCTTACAAGACAAATATGTTAGGTATAAGTGGATGGTTTGGCGAAAAAGCTTACTTCTGTTATTTCTCGTGGAAGCATGAGATGTCGATCAGGATTTTTACTTCAACTTTGTCCCAAACAGTCCTTTTTAGTTGTCTTCATTTTTAACTCGTACTTTCATGTCTGCCTCCAATTCACGACACTATGTGTTCTTTGGTCTTCCTCTTTCTCTTCTACTTTCGAGATTCCGAAAAGGCTTTGTGATGCACGAATTTTATCTGCTGTAGTTGATTATTACTGATGTTCTCTGATTAGTTTCAATTTCAGTTTGAAAAGCACAGGGTGTTAAGTGACCTGTGTTTGTCATGGCAATGGTGGTTTCCCAGTTGATCCAAATTATCTTTGAAAATGTTGACGAATAGAATCTTAAACATATATTGAGGTGATGAATGCCACTCGATGATGATTCGATGGTATAGCCGATAGTCAGCTGACAAGTAATTTTTCTGGGCTTGTGGGTGCTTTCAGAGTGTCGTTGCTAATTCAGGAGATGATTTATCTCTAATTCATTTAAAGAGGGTGATAAAATCGCCTCTGTTTCCTCTACTTAACAATGGAAATAGGTTTTTTTAGCATGTATAGCATCATACAGAAGCCTTGAGATTCCGGAAATTAACTTAGATGCTGTTCTTTGAGGCTTTTCCTACATCCTACTGCCTCTTTTAAGACAGGGGCTAGCCGCATGTTTGCAGTACTTAAGTTTTGAGCGTAAGGATACGGTAAAACTGTCATAAAGCTTTTAACATCGAAATGGGTATCGGTCCTACGTATTGGCCATAGGGCTCTTAAAACTTGGACGGATATTGCAAGGCAGTGTGCAGTAGGTTCAAGGTCTTGACTAAGAATGAATATTCGGTCACTATATGTCTGGACAAAAGGTAGCTCGATGTCATTCACCGTGTATGTATCTGCACCTTGGTGACTGACGTCAACAAAGAAACAAGAAGCCTAGACATACTGTGGGAGCTATTTTTCGGGACGTTATTTCATCTAATTCAAAGCTTGTAAAATACTAACATTTATTTTTGTCCCTGGTCTATTCTACAGAGCATAAGTTTTCGTTTGATGTATGATTCACTGCCATGTATCTTTTTACACTAATCTAAAATCGGGAACCAGATCAGAATTGGGAATAAATGGGGTTGTGTTTCAGTTGACTTGTCTTCTCTCATTCGTGTGCTTGTCAGCAAACGAGGTGATATGATAATTTTCGTCTCTCTACCCTAAGCAATCGGTCTCACATTGAACTCAAGCATCAAGGTTAAGCCAGTCAGCCTAACGCGTCAAGGTCTTGATCAAGATTAGACAAGTTATCCTCTGCACAAAAGTGGGCAGACAGATCAAGGACACAACGGTGACCAATAGGCATCATAATACACTTGGAAACCTTTATAGACAACTGCCATTAAGACAATTTTTCCGGGTCATCATGAGGCCCTTAGCTATCACCTTGATAGTTTGTCGCTCTCCGTGTCTTGATATCATCAGCATCTACCAAAACCAACGGTGATATGGTAACAGGAGTATCATTTACATGCGGGAGGAATAAAACATGTTCCAAAACTGCACGCAAATGCACTTATCTAACTAGACAACTCTGAGTCATCCGTGCACATTTATAAATTGCCTCCACTTCCAATGCGACTTAACCTGTATAACGCTCGTTCTTGAGGAATTTAGTCAAAAGCCTAGTTGAAGTCATTTTAGGCTGCATCTATAGGTAACTTTTAATAACTAGGAGCATAACATCTTTCACGAGCTACTAAATTATTGAAACATCAATCAATTGTTTCAAAGCCTTGCTGCTATTGAGAAAGAATCCGATTTTCATCGAGACACTAAAATAACATATTTTAAACATACTGATTAGGCTTATGGGTCGATAGTTCTCAGATTTGCATCTATTAGTTGTTTTGAAGATAGAACATTCTATAACATCATTTCATTCTTTTGGAGATCGACCCTGTGTTATAGATATAATAAAATATATACTTTGCGAATCCGCGATTCAATTTGCTCGTTTTCTAATAACCTAGGATGCATTTCATTGAGTCTGTTGAGTTGCCTATATCTAGCTCGTTTATCAAATCAAATACATGGAGTTCTTTGATGATCATAGTGTCCAATGTGTGTACAAACTGAAAAGGAAGGCATCTCTACAGCATGTAGATTGCTAGAGTGATTTGAGAATACTTGAGCTTTACCATGATCGTCTTCTACTAATGATGATGAACTATTGTCTTCCTATAATGCTGGGATATTCCCTCTTCCCTTAGTCCTCTGGTTTATGTACGAGTATAAGCGTCTACAGTATTCCGTAGACTACCTGACAAATTTTTCTTCACACAACTTTCTTGACAAGCGAAAGTTTGAGGCACAAGTATTTCAAGCTTCCCGAACATGAGATTTCATCTCGTCAGAAAAACCTAACCTCCACCTCTCCCACATTCTTGATACTTTACAGTGATTATTCAGTATCTCTTTAATGATTCATGGTGGAGAGTTGTTAGGACCCTTTGATGTAGTTCAAGGTATGTACGTTGCAGTGGCTTTTATGTAAAAATATCTGCATAAATCAGAAGTCGTTTCAATGAGGGACTCTGGTTCTATTTTCCAATCTTCTGAGGATGCTGAGTGCATAATATCTTGCATATTTGCTTTCTAGACGTTCGGTATGGCTTGAGCTGATACAACTATATGGAAGTCAAAGACTAAAACTGCGTGGTCACTTTTACTTAGGGATGGGATATGATGGAGGTTTGTGACGTCTTCCTCATAATTGGTTACTATGAGATCTAGTGAAAATGACTCGGAGTTAAGGTCGTAACTATTCACTTCCTACACATGATGCACCAGAGCGAATGTGATAACCACGTCAGCCAGTTTATGGTCGAAAGAATTTTCTGGCATTAAAGTCTCCCAAGACTAAACAGACTGTAGACACACCTTCTACACTTAAAGAGTAATGAAATATTGGGAGTCGCTGACGTCTGAGCTAGTGCAAGCGACTGCCCAGGAGTCCTTCAATAGCAAACGTGACATATTCTTAAGGACTAAGGATAGTATATTATTATGATTTACCAACTTTTTTCATTTTATTTTTTATCGTTAATATACCTAGGTTCCTACCTTAAGGCCTCGTAGGTCCACTGCTACCAGATACGGAAGCCCGTTAAGCGAAAGCTTCTTTTATTCCATCCAGAACCATCTGAACAATTTGAATTATATTGAATGTTGTACTCAGAGCCAGTTTCAAAGTTTTCGGTCATCAGCTGACTTCTGACAGGGTTACTAAAATTCAGGGTGTAATAGTGGCATGTGGTGTTTATTAATAATCTTAATATATACCAGTTGTTGGAGTTTATCAATTAGATCAACGTACTAGAAGTCAAAAAACTTCCAACATAGTCACGTTACTTAGTTTTTGTATCTCAAATTTCACCATCTAAATTACTTCATCGTAAAATATGATCAGCTTGGGAGCGTATGAATACAATCCAGCGGATGTTCTGGGTAATGGGGCATTCGCGATCGTATATAAAGGGAGAGTTAAAAATGTAAGATGTATAATTATTATTAGCATCCCTCCTAGAATCCAGAGGAACCTGTGGCAATAAAAATCATGTTGAAAGATCAAAATGTCCTTAAGTCGAAGACGCTTCTTAGCAAGGAAATATGTGTCTTAAAAGTGAGTTTATATGTGTCACCTCCCACATTAAATTAAGGACCTTAACCACGACAATATCGTCCGACTATATGATCACAGTGTATGTTTTGATATTTAATAATCTTTTGCTTTCTTAGATCTCTAGCAGTGGAGTCTATTTGGTAATGGAGTACTGCAATGGTGGTGATCTTTCCGAATACTTACAGGGTAATCATATATCTCTTGTTTAATTTCTTAGCCAAGCGCACTTTGCCAGAGGATACAATCCGTCACTTCCTAATACAGATTGGCTCGGCTATGGACGCTATGAATAGGAAAGGTTTTATGCACAGAGACTTGAAACCGGGTAATATCTTGTTGAGCCACTGTAGGGATTGTGGTCATCATGTCACTTCTATTCCTGGTTATCTTCTGTCCTTCAAGCTAGGTAAGAACCTCGTTTGGTTATTAATTGTGTTCATCTCTTTTCCAAAGTTATTCATGTTCCCAATGAATTTCTTGTAAATATTTTTTTCGGTATGCAACATATTGTGTGAATCGACTCGTATGTTCTCTGTACTGATTAAGCAGCAACCTTAAACCCTTATATACATATCTTAGTCACATCTGTCGATGGAGTTCTAGGATTTTATTAACTGATTAGGTTTCTTCGCATAAATTTCTGCAACTAATTTTAAGATATCTGATTATCTAAGTTAACCACTTTTTATGCTATCAGAACATCAGTAACCCCTATACTCTCATTTTCCTCAATTGGTCTGTTCAAAGTGTATACTTGAATATCTTACATTGGTAATGTAGCTTAATTGGAAATGTGTAAGATGTTTAACCAAGACCAGTGATCGGCAATGGTTAATGGCAGAAGCTAGGAAAGTTTCTAACTTATAAATTACCAAGTTTGTTGTCATTTTCATTGTATGTCTGTTCAATAGTCGATCAAACAGTCACTTCGGTTTTACACATATATTCACTCTTTTCCTCAATGAATTTTTTGCCTTTAGCTACTCATTCCAACAATAATGATTTTTTTTTCGTTGTTATAATCAGAATCCATATCTATTTTGATATATATATATATATATATATATATATATATGTATATATATATAAAGGAGTTAGTTAAACCAAATGCTGAGTGTTAATATCCCACCAAACTAGGGCAGCAGGATGATTTTTAAAGCTTTTAGCCATAAATAATTATGACTGTAAATTGCAAAAGGTTACCTTTTTCATATTTTCACCCCAAAACACTGATAATAAACTTGACATTAGTTTAATGTATCTAGCCGTAACATTTCAGTGTCATACAAATATAATTATTTATCCATAACAGTGATATCAATCGATTCGAAACTTTTTTGTAAATGTTTCTTAACCTCTCTGTTTGTCAAATAAATAAAGAATGCGCAAAGACATTATAATGTTCTTGCAGAATTCAGGGTAATACTCACTCCATACCTTTTTGAGTTTTCATCATTCATGTTTTAAGGCTTTTATTAGTAAGCTACGGGTTTTACCACTCAGTGTCATCGGTGTACCTTTATATATAGATGGTTTTTACACAATTTTACAACTGTATAAACTCGATCATTTATTATTCACGATTTTTCCCTTTATTTCAGCGGATTTTGGCTTCGCTAGATTTTTACAAGATGGGATGATGGCAGTAACCATGTGTGGATCACCTATGTATATGGTCAGTTTCCTCTTGACTGTTGACTAGACATCGTTTGCAAATACTACTCTCTGGGCATTAATATGTGTATACCGCTTCTTTTTATGTAATTAGGTATTTTGTTTCATTTGTTTACGGTTGTGTATGAAACTTTAGACTATCATGCGCTATGTTATTTATCAGTCTACTTCTTATTATCCTTGCCTTTTCCTACAAAATTCTGTCCAAGTAATTCATTGGTTAGGATATTCACCCTTTGAGCTTATGGCTACGTGAGATGCTAGTAAGCGTCTTATTAGTTCTCGAAATATATTTACAGGAATTCGCGTGTATTTTCTGCAGAATGTATTTATTTATTTGAACACATGAATATTGGTACAGAAGAGCGCCAATATATATGCGCCACACAAAACAATGAGAATTCGAAGAGAAATATAAAAAAAAACTAAGGAGCGCAAAAAGAAAAAGAGAACAATAACGAAGAGATTGGTGTAAGGTAGTGTGGTAGTAACGAGGGAACGGAAAGGTACAATCAGAAGAAATCTTTCAGGTAAGGGAGACACAACCACTTTTTATGAAGAAAGTAAAAGAAGGTTACAGCAGGATCGCCACTGGCTTCTATTCTGAGCCATATCTGATAACGTCTCTAGCCACTGTGTAGCACCATCTCTCGGACCCCAACCAGGGAGCCGTGAAGGACCGACAGAAGCCAGTCCTTTGCAGCTTTCTTTCATACCACGACACCATGTCATGCACTGACCACCTCTCCGCTTCTTCCAACCAGTCCCAGAGTCGGCAAATAATGCACGACGTGGAATTCTCTGGGACGACATTCGTAGAACATGTTCAAGCCACCGAAGTCGGTGTTTCAAGATGGTGACACCAATTGAATTATCATCTCTGTGCCCGAACACACGATGCCGAACCTCTGCATTACTGACATGGTGTTGCCACTGAATGTCACCAATCCTTCGGAGACAGCGATGATCGAACACAGAGAGTCGTCTAACGTCCTCAACTCGGAATGTATTGTACTATGTATATGTATGTATGTATGTATGTATGTACTATATCCTTATTGCAATCTTTTTTATATATTACCACCTCTGAATAACTACTTTTATGGATCCAGTGTCCATCTTGCTGTGTTAATGAGGTATGGCAACTTGGACCGATGCATATATGTGCCTGGTCCTACGTTGTAGCTGACTGACTGATTGTACTACTAAACAAATCATAGTAGTCTTTTTCAGGGATACCAAGTACAAGTATGAATCATAGTCGAATTTATCTATTCAATAATAATAATATTTCTCCCTTTAGTAATCTTTACTATCTTCTATTGCTTTTTTGTTAAAATAAGGCTCCTGAAGTACTGATGTGTCGTAAATATGATGCAGTAGCAGATATTTGGAGTATGGGCATTATTGTTTACCAGTGTTTAACTGGTAAGGCTCCATTTTATGCCAATACTCCAGAGGCTTTAAAAAACATATATGAAAAAACAGCTTGTCTCAGACCAAAGTAAGTACTATTTAGTGTTCTTCTGTAAATTTATTATATTGTCGTTAAGTTGCTTACTTTATATGAGTCTGTGGTCTCTGAGCTAGATGGTTTAATATTAGAGCTTTCATTACCGTTCTAGACAATATCCTTGGTACCTACTTTATGTAGATTATTTCGTGCACATGGTAGAGGAACTTAACAGCGCATATGGATTATTTAGGTCATAGAGCTTCCATTGTTCTTCTGAAAAACATCATCATCACTAACGTCAGGTAAAAGTGAAGTGTTCGGATTTCTCCACTTACGACTCACAGCTTGTCTTGTCTACCTCTATCTCGGTTGGTTATTGTTGACCCTTAACCTGTCGTTGTCTGCCTCTTTATTTTGATTGTATCTCCCTTTGATCTGATCCTTAGTCCTATATTTGTCCATGGTTTTTCTGATTGGTTGGTAGATTAGATCAATTTCGATGAGTTTGTTGATTACTGATTGATCTGAGTGTCAGGCTTCTAAAAATTCCCTGGTGCTTTTAGTATTACCTCCATCCAAGATTTCAACATTTTTCCAGTTGAATGTATGTCCACAGTTGTCCAGATGCATTGATATAAGTGAGGATATGTCATGGTGTTTGACTGCTAATTGGTGTTCGTGCAGGTGGAGATGAAGGGGTCGTCCACTCTATCAGATGTAGTGTTTTTCACTCCACTTCTACATAAAGTTTGTGCTGCTGATGTTGTTCAGACGAACAATGAAAGCTCCACGACTAAATCATCCAGCTCATAGAACAAAACTCCACCTAAGTTCAAACACGTACATATACACATAGTTTCCGCCGCAATAAAATTCCGTTGTTTGCACTGAATCTTAGACCTATAGCAATTGTGCATTAGTGATATCAGTTATCTTTAAAACAGAAAGGGAATTGGGTCTGTAAGTGTTTCCTAAGTTGAATGTTTCTAACCTTACCCAACTCATACTAGTTTATATATATATATGGAATAGTATCGTAAATGTTTGCGACGTTTTTGTGTCGACAATTCATGTGGTAATACAATTATCGTAAAGCTTATAATCTATCACCCATTAATATTTATATACCAGAATTTGAAGAACATGACATACGGTTGAGAGCTTTGATTTGTTTATATGCTGAGTGGATTTTTGAAAGTATGTAAATAGTGTTACTTTGTTTCTTGAGGTTGAATAGACTGACTGTATATCTCATGAGGTATGGCAACTTGGACCTATGCATATATGTGCCTGGTCCTACGTTGTAGCTGACTGTCTGACTATATATCTCTACAACAGTATATTTTGTCATCTGTACCGGTGAAATAAATAAAAACTTTAAAACCTGCAGTTTGATACCTACTGTTATATATATTTTTAATCGTTTTTTAAGCACGTACGTCAAAAATTGGTACTTAAAAAGGAGTTCTTATTCATACTTCACAATTAGTAGTCATTTAATTCACGTGACCGAGCGATAAAAATCAATTACATTACTAATTATTCAAGCTCTAAGAAAAATTGATTAATGCGTAAAATAAAGGTGGTTTTTTGCAAGTTTTTTTTTTGTGTGTGATAATTATCGTAAAACAAAGTTTATTTACACACTTTACTATTTTCTTGTTATTGAAATAAGTTTGTTCATCGTGTAAATAATATGGTATTATGCCTTGTAAGACTCATGGTCTTACTTAGCGTGTTTAAAGGCTATCTACCCACCTCGTCATACGTTAATTATAGAAAACATGAATGAATGGTGTGGTATATTTAGAATCATCATGAATGTAGGCATGTTAATGTATAAATTATTTCTTATCATTAAGAACTTTTAGACAGCATTTAATGTCTTTTATCTCTTTAGTATGAATCTGTGACTCAGTAGTTTGAGCAACCCACTTTCAGACTCTCACCAAACTGTATTTATAAGTATTTGAGCAACCAGCTAGTTTTGTTGGTTCATTCAGTTAGTCAAAAGCGCCCATTACACATCTTCCTCCAAATAGAAATATCCTTCCAAGGTTTGGAGAATCGGGGAGTAACAAATCTCCTCGCGACCATCTTCACGATCGAATCCCATTTTAATAATCTAACATTTGTTCTGTTCCCATGATCAGTCATCCTCTAGCTTCGACTACGTTCACGTATGATACTAATGTTAACTATGTTATTTGACCAAATTTCATCCCAGTCCTCCCTAAATCTTTCTCCGAACTACATTTTAGATCTTTCATTCTTTCAACACTATTGAAATGCTTAGTCAGTCAGTCAGCTACAACGTAGGATCAGGTACATATATGCATCGGTCCAAGTTGCCACACCTCATTAGCATGGCAAGACGAACACCGGATTCATAGAAGCAGTTAACTCAATGGTGATAAAGAAAGATTTTATGTAAGGATACAGTTCTGTAAGAAAGAATTAGTTCGTGGAAGAAACCAACCATTGGTTACGATAGTCGCGTGGACCCCAACCAAGTAATCTGCATCTACTAACATGGCTAAGACCAGAAGTCAGTGACTTCAAGCACTGATGATACATCTTGGTTTGGCCATCCCTCACTTCCTTCCAACCGTCTCCAACGCTAGTCAGCATTGCATGTCGTGGTAATCGGTGTTTAGGCATACGTAACACGTGGCCCAACTATCTCAGTCGATGAAGATTCACAATCCACCAACTGATTCACCATCATTCCCTAATACCATGCGCCTAACCTCACTATTACTTAACCGGTGATCCCAGCAAACGCCAGCAATATTTTTAAGGCATCTGTGGTCAAATTCTAGTAACTTACGGCTGTTTTCTACTCTTCATGGCCACGTTTCGCAGCCGTAAATTAGAACAGAACGAAATGCTGAGCAGTATACTCGTCCCTTGATTGATAGACTGATGTTTCGCATTCGCCATAGGTGACGTCAGTTGGCAAAAGCCATACGAGCTTTCTGAATCCATGCTGAGATTCGTCAGACACCAACCCATTATGGTTGATCAGATTTCCAAGATAAGTGAAGTTGTCAGCGCGTTCGACTACTTCACTCCCTATCCTTAGTTCAGGTGTTGACGCAGCCCAGTCCTGCAGCAACAACTTGCATTCAGAGGGGGAGAAACGCATCCCAAACATCCTGGCATTGTTGCCCAGTGCTACCAAAACACTGCATTTTAACGGCATCTTCACCAAACAGGACTGTATTATCTGCGTATTCTAATCCGATAAGTGGACCTCCTGGTAGGACATCAATGCCCGAGAATTCAGTTGACGAGAGCGTTATTTCCAGCAGTAGGTGTATGATGAAGTTGAACGAAAATGGAGACATTGGAATCTCGTGTTATCAATAGATGCTGCATCTCTGAAGCACCCATACAATGTCTTAATTCATTTGACGTCACCTAGAGGGTTTGGAGAGTCAACGTAATTTACTACTAGTATACCTAATACATATCTGTTAATTTGATAACAGTCATCATCTTTTGAGCACAAGGTAAGACATCACCTAACGTCGTGACTACCGAAGTCACAACGATGGACACAAATAAATCATATTGTTGCCAGTCATCACTAAGCATGTCTGGTTGAAGACTCGCTCCTTATCCGTAACAGATGTTCAGATTCCAAATACTCTCTAGTCATATTTCGTGTTTGTTTGCACCTTATTGGGCTCAGACACAATGAAACAAGAAGATCTTTTCGAGTGTAGTTCGAAGACTAATAGGTCAAGGGTATTCTTAAGGCAGAACTAACTATGCACTTACTCGACTCTGTAGGTAGTGTTCATTCAAAGACTATCTGGCATGATTCGCAGTCTTTAACAGCAACAATAGTAACGTCTATTGGCGATCTGAACCAAAGGACTGGGATCATCAGGTCTTAAAAGCCTCTACTTAATTAATAGCTGCTCATAAACTCATTCCAGGATGTCCAAAGAACGATAAGTAACCGCAAACCAAAGCAAAAGAAATCGGAAGGGCAGCGGTGGCGACGTCTGTTCAGAATCACCGAATAAACTGGTTTAGAGAAGTCAGCTGTTAGTAAGACCGTTTTAGAGAAAGATAAAACACTGATCTGTCTCTGTTCAGGAGATTGGAATAATGAGGAGAAAACTCAACGAAATAATTCAACTGACTCCAAACTACTTTTTGCTTACCTTCTATTCTCATGTTGTATGAATGGGTTATTGACCTAAGTACACCAGCTCTTAAAAAGTTTGGAAAGGGCTGTACCTTACTTGAAACAAGGAGTAGCAGGCACACCTGCTAGGTACATCAGTGGTTTTTAGGAATAGGAGTTCAATTTTAGCTGTTAAGTTGACTGAGGTGCTAGCCAGAGTTTACGAACTGGATGTAATCCCAACTAATTGGTCTTGGATTCCGATCGTCTTGGTCTATAAAAAATAGCTAACATTGTTTTTTGATAACCATAGGGGAGTCGGTTCGAGTAATATGGTGTCTAAAATATTAGGATCCATAGTCATTCGATCGTTAGATGGGACTCTGGAATATTAAATCAAAATAAACCAAACTGGTCTTTTACTTGGCTGTGATTATATTAGTAAATGTAATGTAGCAACTCAGTCTGATTCAAGTCTCTATATTGTTTATAACGACCTCAACGAATAACTGGTCTCATTTTTCTGCAGTCGTACTCATTGCTCATACAGTTCTCGGTGTAGAGCTTTCAGATTCCAATTCATTTTTATCTGGTTATCCAATCTTTTCTATTCTTGTCAACGGTTTCCTCCAATAAGTATGTTTGTAAATTAAGTTGGCGAAATTTTTAACATTCTTCAAATCTGTAATGTCGTTTTAGAATTAGTGTTAAGGTGAATAGTCGGTTATCTTATGAGAATGAGAAAAATCCCATATTATTTATTTTATTGTAGTCTTTACCAATTATAAATATCACTTACATTTCATTTAATACCCCTCAGATGTATTAATCAGTTTGTGACATCATTCCTAATAACAGTCCTTTTCTGTACTGCTGCAAATTGTAACAACTTGTACTAGTCCAATTACGTGGAAAATTTCTTAATTTTAGGAACCATTCGTCTTGAGATTTCTCATTTTTTAATCGATTCATGAAACATCAGCTTAGGAAATTGTTAGACAGGTGTTTTTGAAGGCTCTCATGTCTTACAAACACATCAATCGTAGATCAAACTTTTCTTAGAAAATATTCTTATTACAATAAACTTTTAGAATAGATACCTAGATTTTAGAAATTTTGGATATCCTATCAATATATTGTCTAGACAGATAATGAGAGCTTCACAATTAAACATCCAGCTCTGAGAATACATTATTTTCAAAATTTTTCAATTTTAATGAAAAATGTCCTGATTGAAGAGGTACTCGGTAAGAGTTTTAACGAAATGGCCGTCCAGTGCTTCCAGGTTTCTCATGGTGGTCTAGCTTCAATTGACTAATGATTTCAACTTGTTGTTATTTCTTTTCGTATGCTTAGTTATTTTGAGTTCTTTCAAAAGTTTGGTAAATATATGTATCTCAATATATGGGTGTTTTAATTTTAAATAAATTGACCATTAATACTGCGGTTATTAACTGTAGTGAGAAAGCCACACATTCATAGGGTGGTTGTTAAAAATTCTTCTCAGCTTAGATAACAATTATATCAGAATCCTCTTCTGCTTGCTGTATATTTTAAGTATTTATATAGTTTGAAGATTTTACACTTTGAAAGTTAATTAGTGAAGTAGAAGTTTCAGGTTATCAGTTTGATTAAAAATAACTTCATCAGTACAATGTTTACAGAGTTCCTTTTTTCAAAACTTCTTTTCGTTTTACAGAATACCTGTTACAACCAGTAAAGCGTTACAGGATCTTCTATTAAAAATGCTTATTCGTAAACCATCGGACAGAATTGATTTTCGTAAGTTCAAAGAATTGTTTTATTGTTTTTTCTATTATTACTATTATTGTGGCGTGTGCTATTTATATCGACATGAGTAGTATGTAATGATAATCAGAATTAGAATGTCTGGCGGCAGAAAGTCGAGAAGGAAAGAACGGGAACAGAAAGCAGTTAGTATGAAAATGCAGGCACAATGAAGTCTGAGACGATTGACTGATATCTTGCAAATTATGTATTTACTGTATGATCCTCAGATTTTACTAAGATGTGCTGTAATTTTGTGGTCAAGTACATTTGATTGTCCCTACTTGTGTTCTCTTTCACTGCACTATTATTATTATTATTATTACTATTATCGATGAAAAACCAAATGTATTTCTTAAAAGATCATTTATTTGAATGGCATTCTTACAGTATGATCACACCATAAAATCAGTTTCACACTCATTCACTTCTATTTTCCTTTATTGTATTTCGTTTAATACCCTTTCAAATGATCCATATTATTATGGTGATCAAATTAATTTTGTTTAGAATTTATTTTTAGCTAATTTATATATTTACTTTTATTCTATTACATTCTTGTTGTCTAATGTGACATTTTACAGAAAATTTCCTGAATCATCGATTTCTGCATCAACGACATTTTGAACCTCGAGGTATGTGTGTATATCATGTATATATGCTTGTTTATATTTACATGTACATGTGTGTGTGCGCGTTAGTCAATACTACAAATGGATATTTTGCATGTTTTTGAAGAAAACAAAACACAACTATGTAATGGATTTTCATTCCTAGGATTAACATACACACATCGATATCTCTTTTATATATGCATTGATATAACTACTAGCTAAAAAATAAATGATTAGTTTGAAAAGAGAAAAAGTTAGTACGATCAGATACTTTGACTATTACATTTGTACTTTATACATTTAAGAGTAAATTAAATATAGAAATTATATATATTGGTTTATTTACTTAATTGGTTTATTTATGTAAATGAATGGTAACTGTCCAGTAGTAGTAGTTGAAATAGTAGTAATGAATATCTTTGGAAACTCTGAACTCTTGCATTTAAATTCATTGATTCTTTGCAGAAAATCTTACTTCTCTCATCAAAGAATAATTTGAAGTTGTCAGTCCTACTTCAGACAATTTTGAATTTCAATTTGTTTAATCCTGTTTGTATTCTAGTCTTGTTGTGGAATTCGATGCAGCATGAACTCAATTCATTACTCGTAATGCAACTAGAAAATCTGTTTCTTTCTTTCAATATGTGTTATATAGTCGAATATCTATAGATTTTTATAAATGTAGGCCTATATCAATCAAGCTAATCTTGTATAGCTTCCTTCTTATTATTACTGAGGTTACCAGTGATCAAGTTCAATCTGATGGGATTATTTCATTATTATTATTACTATTGTTAGTATTATGCTGAATAACCTTCGTGTTTCTAGGCCAATGGATAAAAATCAGCAACACAATCCGACTTAAGGCCTCCCTGCGGCGCTGCTAGTCACTAGGGGCAACCTTGCTAGCTAACTTGGGTGGTTGGAGATGGAACTAATTCACCACTCTGCTGTAAACTGGATTAATTGAGTTCCTTTGTTCGGAGCTCTAAAAGTCTTACGGGATGTTCGATGTGTATGTTTACGTATATGATTCGGCTTGTGTGGTTTATGTATATAGGTATATGCATATGCAATGGGTACGTGCGTGGGTGAGCACAAGGAACGTAAGCTGAAAAGTGTCTTCTCTATGTCTAGTAAAATCAGCGGCCTAACCGTTTGAGTCGAATATATAATAAAAAATGTGGTAGCAAATACTAGGGAGAGGTGACCATCACTCTTCTCAGAAAGTGTTTATGTTTAGGTGTATGTCATGAAGTTCAAGGGCGAAAGCCTTTGTACCAGTGAGATGCACTTAATGCGTAAGTGACAGTCAGCTGTTGCAAATTCGTTCAAAAGGCGCGGTGACCATTTACCCTCCCAGGTGTGTGAAAATACCAGTATGTATGCTATGGGATGCATGCGTAAAAACTTGTGTTACCAGTGTGCGCGTAGACCTTTACTTCCCCGTGAAGCGACGCCCAAGCGCCAAGATCTGGGGGTTACAATCTTCCCACAAAATCGTATACAGTCGGTGGGTTTGTGAGCCTTCAAAAACGGAAACCGTTCCCAGAAAAGCTAATCGGCTTCACTTTCACACGGCTGGAACACCGTATTGTGCAGAATATCTATCTTCATTTTCACAGTAAACACATTTGCTTTAGGGGAAAAGAATAATAACTGTATATGTCAGTTTGTTTATTTGTTAGAAAATAAATGTCATGCAAATTGTATATTATTTTTCTTTCTTGGATCAAACTTAGTATTTAGTGTGTACAGTTTCTCTTAATAGAATGGATAGACTAGCTAAAGTGATTTTTTCTTGTACTTATTGTTTAAGCTATCGAATCCTTATCTAATGCCTATGACATTTAATTTAAGAACGAATGATGTATTGATGTTTATTCCAGTCTTCCATCATTTTATTGTTTATATTTTGTTAGTTGATAAAATTGTTGTATAACGAGTTTAGTTATGTAAATCCACTGATCATTGAATATTTTAAAATTCAATTCACTTATTATTTCATTTTGTGCTATCAACCAATAGCTAAAGATTGTAAACTTAGCACTCTATTGCTACTGATAATTATGTTTATTTTGTTTGTGTTAATCAACGAGTGAAGACCTTAGATGATATGGCTCATAATCAGTTGGAATAGCGTAGCTAATGTGTTGAGTTACTGATTTCACCTGTTCTGTTAAAAGTTTATTCTTCATAAGCGAAGATGGATGGTGGCTGTCAGTGAAATAAAGGATACATGTTTCGTGCTGTTTGGGACTCGTCAGTTGGGTATACTTGCATCCCGGAGTTGACGTTCACTCCAGAACTCGAACCCAATACCGTACGCTTCAGACGACATCACCTTACCTACTTAGCTACGCAGTCCAGATATTATTATTATTATTAGCTTTATTCAATATTATATTTTTGGTACAACATATAATTCTCAGCGTAAAGTATTTCAACAAGTTTCCGTTTCTTTCTTCTTGGTCGGTCCTGGCGATAAATATTGAGTGATCGTCAGTTAGATGTTAGCAGTTCAGTAAATGAACATCTGAATAATGTGCATTTTTTTCGCTGTATATTGTCAGCAACCGCGTTGGCTCTTATTGAGTCTTTTGTAACTTTGACAACGAAAGGTTGTACACTTTTCAGAAACGCAGCAGAATAGGTCATGCGATTAATAAACATAATGATATATTAAAAAAAAATAGATAACTTGTTGAAATATCTAGATGGCAGGAACAGGTAGCCCAGATGCTCAAGCAGGCCGCCCCAGCTTGTGAAATGGGGTGAAGTTGTAATTCATTTTGTATTGTTTAATTGGATCCTTTGCTAGCCACCATCCATCTTTGCCCATAATGGTTGTGACAAGGCATTATCGAGACAATCCGTACATGATGCTCGTATGCCAATAAGAAACTGATCAATTGCAGTCTTAAACATCAATGGGAGGATTCAACCAAACAATACAAAATGAACTTACTCTTCACACTTAGTTTTCATACCTGTTACCATTAATTATATGCAGTTAATTATTTTGGTCCTATTAATTTTTTAATGCTGTACAAATGTTAAGTGTTGGGATTTAATATGAAGAGCATTTGTCCTGGGTTTTTTAATTATGCGAACTCAATAATTCTGGAGTCATATTGTCTATGCCGAACGCGTTTTTTACTGCCACTGGCATTTTCATTACTGCTAATTTGATATCATTCTTGATAAATTCCTCTCACAGTGTTAATATAGTGTAGCAACTTTGGTCGATGTACATGTTCGACAGATTGTACGTTGATTATGAGTGACTGACTAACTGTCTCAAATCATACAGTTTCTGTGACTGATTAACTGTTTTATCTATACAAAATTACAAGGACTATTTCAATAATATTTGGTGGATGGAGCAGTTTGTCAAGTAGCCTCATCAATGATAAGTAATTCTTAAAAATTCAGTTTTATAGTGAACATTCTAAATCTGACATTGTGCTGGATAAATTTTTAAAATGCAGTTCTAATTCTCATTTTATAACTAAGCAGTGTACCGTAAACAGGTTAATACTTCTGATAATGTAGATAAATATTATTTGCTTTTTTCAACTGTAATACACTAGCGTAATGCATTCATGTTAGAATTTAATCACTTGTTCACTTCTCAATAATATTCAATGAATAATATAGTTAACTAAATCTATGAAGATTTTACATAAGAACTGAGTTCGAAGATTCTGTTTATTGTATTATTTGTTGCGTAAAACAGGTCAAATTGATTACCATTATCTGAAGAGTCCATATTTTATTTGTTATCTATTTGCAATTTTAATAACATACAGCGGATCACTGAATAATTAACATATGTGTTTTGTTGTATAAAAGAAGTATTGTAAATTATCAAGTTTGCTACCCTAAATGTATCTTAATTTCCTAAACTTAAAGTCATTTTCAATGTATTTCTGATTATCCTGTCTCGTATGTGTAATTTGTGAATCAATATGATTTTATCAACCTCATAACCTTTGGGTTTAATAGGTATCAATACCAAGATTTGACTTGATAATTTCGAATAAATTAAGCATTGAGTAGATTCTTATAAATAAATTCATATATTTGTAATATCCCATCTAGTAGAAAAATTAAATTTTCTGACGTTTCGTGACTCAATGTAAGTCACTTCAGAGGACAAATAACCAAATCAAAATTTATCATTGGGTGTAACGTTAGTGTATTGATCTAATATAAGATAATTTGAGCAAATATTCATTTTTGTCACAATCTACATTATTACTGTTGTTTGACTGTGGTTGGCTGACTGGAATTTTCTAAGGGACTTTTACTTGACTAAAGCTCTGTCATTTCAAAATGTATGTTCTTAAAAGTTCCTATGAGTTTTCTTAAAGTTTATTTTCCAGTCTTTTTTTTATTATATGTTTTACTGAAAATAATGGTCCCTTGTAATTATTAGAATCCAGTTTTGTTTGAAACTCAGCTTCATTTCTCATACATCCCGTAATCCAGTTATATATGTTGTCCAGAACATGTAAAATAGTAAAACCAGTATAACATAGCGTATTTGATCACATTATTTTAAGTTCGCGTTTTGTGTCACCAAGAGTAATATCTTGATAGAACTTCAAAGTCACACTATGTGTAACTGTTTTCTAAAGAGTAGTAGTATGTTAATGATTTTTTAAGAATATAAATGTGATTTGTAAAAACAAATAATCGCTTAATAAATTCAAATACAATCTACGTAGGTCAGTTAAATGAGTCCAATAACCTATAATCTTTTTACCAACTATGAATGTCTATTGAAATCGAAGCACACCAACATAGTATCTGTCATTCAATGCTTTTAATAGGATTGCATAATTTAAGTATTGTAAATCAAATAAACGAACGATTGATAATGTAATCAATCCATAAGTACTCATCATTTTTGATAGTTAACGAAAATCAACCAGACGGACATAGTGTTCATAAATGTGTTTTATTACTTGATTTGATTGCATTATGGAGCTGTCTTCGTTGTCAGTT